TTTAAAACAAACAAACAAACAAACAAACAATCCCTCACATCCTGTAGACAAAAAGCATCAATCAGTTGAAGAATGTTTCAGACGACGTGTGACTGTGTGACGGTAAATGTACTGAGACGGACTCCGGAGACGAGACCAGGACGGTGGGGGACGGACTGAGCGAAGGTCCCTCACCTCAGCGCTCCCTCTCCACGGCAGCTAATCTCACCACGGCTGAGACTGGCACTGATCTCCTCCCTCTGTCTTTGTGTGCTCCTCTGAACCTCGCCCCCTAGTGGACATCTTTGTTCTGAACCGAAGTCAAACATGAAAAGCTCAGTCTGGGTTGTTGTTCACTCAGTCACAGACTGGAAAGCAGATTTTTTTTTTTTTTTTCACACGTGGTTCTGGATGGATTGAACGTCATTGTATCCACAGGGTCAGCTGCCCCGACCGCGTCACTGTGCTTCACCCACCCCCAACACCTGACCTGTGGTCCGTGAATCAGAATCCCAGGTTTACACACATGCTGCGGATGACACACACACACACACGTCATTGTATTATGCAAACTTCTTCCTGTGTTTGGTGTGGGTCTGATCTAAAGAGTTCTTTTTGAGTCGTCATAAATCAGAAACCAGAGTCCAGCTCTGTTAGAGAGCTGTTCTGTTACTATACTTTACTCACTAAGTTTACACTATTGGCAAAACAATATATTGAGGGTTTGTTTTAAACAATTTAATTCTAGTCTGTTCCGTCTCATCATCAGGTTGGAACTACAACTACATTTGGAACAGTGGGAAAATTGCACTGATTTCTTTTTTTTTTTGTTCAATAAAAATAGCAGTTTATTCAGAATGTGTTAAAGAGAGGGAGGCTCTACAATTAGCTACAAAAGGGGGCGCTGCAGTTAAACAAAATTTTTTTTTTTTTACTTGGTCCAAAGAATGGTATTAATTAAAACATTTTTGCTCACACCAAAGATTTTAAAAAATTCAGATTTGATTCACAATCCAAATTAAGTTTTTTTTTGTTGTAGACAAAGCAGCCAATAACGAAGGAGCCAACGAATCATCCACACATTTCAAATTTAAATATTTATTGTAAACATAATCTGTTTCTGTTTCAGCTTTTAAAACTGTTCCATCTCAGTCAAAAACAAAGGCCAGTTAATTTGGAAAAAATAAAAAAAAACCCACCCTAACCTTAAGAATCAGTGAAGGAGGAGACTGATGACCGTGCAATGCATTTCTACTTATGAACCCTGTTACAAGGGAGACCTCTGTTGGCTGTGTGTTGTAAGTGCAGTGAACGGAACGGGAAGTGGGCGGGGCCAGAATTCAATGACTGAACCATACTGAGCCTGAAGATATATATATATATTTTTTTTTAGTGACCTATAAGATGCAGCTTGACCGTGACGAATGTGTATTTCTGTTGTGTGTTTTGTGTTTGAGAGACGGTTCATATTTATATTGTGCCTTTAAGCCTCGTCTGTCCGTCATATAATCTGTGTTCATGCATTAATCACTGCATCGTTATGTTATCTCCAAAGTGTTATCTTCTTGTAGTCCGTTTAAGTTAGACTTTTTCTTCTGTCTGCACTGTATTTAAGCCAGTTTTGTTTTGTTTTTTTCTTTTTACACCATTTCACTCGGCATCGACAAATGTTTATTTCTCCTTTTGAAAAGGAGCCGTTGTGTTGGTTTTTTTTCTCTTACAGTTGCTGTGAAAATTTGCATCGCTCCGACAATCCTGAACTGGAATACATGGTATTTAGGGAAGAATAAAAACGAGTGCATCTGACGTACAGTGACCTTCAGCTGTAGTGACCGCTCACGTGGTCAAACGACTCGTTTCTTTTTACTCCATCTCAAACGTGCAACATTTAAACTCGCTAAACCTCTCTTTCGTTCTTGACTTTTACTTTGCTGTCATTCAAGGACCTGTGAGTCAGAAATGTGATCCAATCAACTGCGAGCTTCGCTTTCTTTTCTGTCTGTATCCGTTTGGGACCTCGACGCAGTCCCCGAAGGTTTGCCTGTTGACTGGAGACGCGCAGTAAAATGTAAATAAATTTTAAACTTTCAGACTCGAGTCTGTGTCTCGTCGTTTGTCTCTGGAGACTCTGTTCTAGCATTCGTACCAGGGCAAAAAAAAAAAACAAACAAATAATCAAATTTAGTGAAGGGCCAGATGTGGGGAGTTTGTGGGACAGAAGTGGTCCCCGGACCAGGAGTTTGAGGAAAGTGTCAACACTTCTCCTGCTACTGTTGTAAAGAAATCCACTCTCTCTGTTTATAAGTGCTCTCTGTCTTTTTGGTCAAGGTTGGGTGACAGAATGAATACAGTAGTACATGACCTTTAAAATGAGCCCAAGAACATGAACAACAACAACAACATGAACAACAACAACAACATGAACAACCACAGCAGTGGTTTTTCTGATGATGATTAATCATGACAGTCATGACAGTTTCTGGTGTTTAATCACAATTAATAACATTATAATAGAATATTATTTAATACAATATTTAGCAGATATGATTCTGTACATACACATATATATATATTACTTTTTTTTCATCAAAACACAATCTCAAAACTAGTTTAGCTTTATGTTTCACCTGGTGAGGGACAACAGAGAGTGTGGAAAACCAAGGGCGAGGCTGCATGACAAACAAGTGTGTTAAAAATGGATGAAAATGAAACTAAAAACTGGTCAAACTAGAGCCAAGGATGAGATAAAGAGGAAATGTGGACGGTCTGAGAGGCTGAGTAAGAACAGAACTGTAGGAGAGTTTGTTCTGACCTGACAAAGAGTCCCAGCTGGAACACATGGACGACGTGGAACAGCCGTGGACTCAAGCACGTCTCAACCGCCATTTTCCTTTCGAAGTCGTCCTAACTGTACCACAGCCAGCTGTAGGTGTTGACCAGTACGGACGAATCAGCAGGATGGAAACTACGCCTCCTCCTGTTGTTGTTCTGTTGTTGTTGTTCAGTTGTTGTTCAGTACTTACTGACTGTAGTCATGGTTTTCTACCTTAAGGACAAAAACAAATCGGGACAGATGTCAAAGAAGGACATGGCAAATAGAACAGAAACAGAAATGATGGAGGAAAACAAGCACGTGGACACTGATTGGTGGAAAGAACCAGATTATCAAAGGTGAATCAACTCCCAGGAAGTGAGGAGGCAACAGGAAAGCGTGCCCACGGATGCTGCATGTGACGCCACGTGTAGGTCACTTCAGGGTGAGGGGACAGAATTAAACCAAAATCCATCAGTGAACTGACCTTCATGAACCGCAGTGTGACCGTGGTCCAGACTCAGGAGTAGAAGATTTCAGCCAACTTCCTCATTCTGCTCCTGTCTTCGACGCTGGGTGTTGGTGGGCCTGGAAGGCTGCGGAACGTGACCTCGGTGTCTTCTGGCTCCTCTGCCGTGGTCCCCTTAGAGAGCACGCCTCCATCTTCAGTGGTCGCCTTCTCTTTGCTCAATGTTGGGTGAATACATTTATAGTATATGACCTTCAAAATGAGCCCAAGGACGTAAACAACAACAACCACACTGACAGCTATGCTTTTTTCCAGATTCGATTCTGTGCTCATCTTCCAGAACCACCGGCAGAGCAGACAAATATCTAGCAGCATGTACCCGTGGTAGAGCAGGGTCCGGTTCCTCGTCCGTCCCTTGGCCACGTTGAGCCAGTTGAAGTACCAAATAAGGCCTACGGTGGCTCGGAAAAGCCATTCTCCAGCAGAGCTGTCCATGAAGGACGTCTGGCATCTCCAGGCACAGAAAAACAAAACAAGCCAAGAGCAGAGGAAGTGAGCGAAGATGAACCAAGGCAGCACAGAGGCGAAGAGCGCCAACGCCACGAGGCGAGACGAGATAAGGAACAGGTTCCAGGAGAAGTAGACCAAAGACGACGCCACCTTCTGGTTTGCTTTATCTGGCAGGAAGGAGCGTAGGGAGCGGTGGTACATGGTCACGCCGAGGGCGATGCCACAGGCTGATGCCAGGGCCTTCCATACTTCAATACCTTCAGGGGAGGAGCAGATGTCACAGTGTGAGTCACACTAACACTAACATTTGTGACGTTTGCTTCAAGCCGTGGTTTTGGGGACACTCTGGCAAAACCTCAACTGCGCTACATGTTCTCAGTTAACGAACATACGACACAGCAAATGTTGGAAGAGTCGCAAAAAATATTATTTTGTCATCGGACACATAAAGCACAACTTTGAAGACATGGCACCTTGGATCAGCTGGGCCTGATGTTGGTGAAGCACGGAGGTGAGCATGAGCAGCAGCTGAGGGCTGTTCTCTGAGAACGCCTCGATGAGCTTCAGAAAGCAGAAGTCGTGGCTTCGGTACACTGCGTATCCCTCCAGTTCTTTCTTCTTCTCCATCTTCTTCTTCCAACACTTGAGTACGGGCACCTCCAGGACGCCTGCCTGCCTAAAGAAACAGACACACACACCGCCAAGTCGCCACAGACACAGGGTTAGACCAGTAATGGTCAGTAATCGTGGTGGAAACTAACATTTCTTTTTCTGGTGATTAATCACAATTAATATGATTGTAAAAGAATATTATTTAATACAATATTTAGCAGATATGATTCTGTACATACACATATATGATACACATGTTAACATTGTTACACCTTTTTTTTTTACTTTTTTTTCACCAAAACACAATCTCAAAACTAGTTTAGCTTTTTGTTTCAAACGGGTGAGGTCGAGGCTGCATGAAAAACGTGTGTAGGATAAAAATTAAACTAAAAACTGGTCAAACTAGAGCCAAGGATGAGATAAAGAGGAAATGTGGACGGTCTGAGAGGCTGAGTAAGAACAGAACTGTAGGAGAGTTTGTTCTGACCTGACAAAGAATCCCAGCTGGAACACATGGACGACGTGGAACAGCCGTGGACTCAGGCACGTCTCAACCGCCATTTCCCTTTCAAACTTGTCGTATTTATACCACAGCCAGCTGTAGGTGTTGACGAGTACGGACGAGCCCAGGATTAAAATCAGCAGGATGGAAAATCTCCAGTACGCCCCCGTCTGGTAAAAAAACACCAGTGTAACAAAGTCTAAGACGATGTCAGCCAAAAACACAATCAGACCCAACCAGGCGAAGACACTGTCCAACTTGGAAAAGTTGAATTTGAAGCCTGTGTGTGTGTCCTCACACACCTGCTCCATGGTGAGTGCTGTCCGAACTCCTGTGAAGCAAAAGTAAAACTGTATGAGGCACAAACTCTGTGGCTCCTCCCACAAAACCACGCCCTCGTGGGTCGGAGGAAATCTTAGATCAAAGTTTAACCAGCAGAGTTTTACATTTTCACTCTGATGCAACAGCTCTGCAAAACACAGTAGGAAATTATTAACAATCAGAATCAATAGGGTTTAAATCAAAAACAGTCATTGACACGGAGTTCAACACAGACATTCTCAGTCAGAACAGAGAGTTTAGGACTCTGTCAGAGTTTATTTTTTAAAAACTGGTGCAGGAATACAAATGGAAACGGTTGGAATTGAACATCTGCTGAGTCACTTCTCAGAAGTCATCCTGAAACCTAACGGGCGGCACATGTGGGGGTTAAAACACACGCGACGCTCCATTAACACTGACCCTGACCAGTTGTTGTTCTGTGCAAAAATAATAAATTAAAACAGACAAATATATTCTCGACACAACACTTCCAGAGTTGGCAGCTAAAACGACACACATTTAACTACTGTTAGTTCTGCTGATTTCATCTCTAACATAGAAAATATCTTGTGCGAATTCACTTAAGAAACAGTCATTAACGTGGTGGCAGGCAGAACGAACAAACTGTTCAACCACCAACCGTTGCTCTGACGCACAGTCAGTTCACCTGCTGTCATTTAAACACACTGTGAGAAGAACTTAAAAAAAGAACCATGTAACTGCAAACATGTGTTTGGCCCGGCCTGTGTCTGACCAGCACGACTGAGATCAGGACAGTCAGTCAGTCAGTCAGTCAGTCAGTCAGTCAGTCAGTCTACGACCAGCAGTCTGACTGACCAACAGTCAGACGGGTTGGCAGGATGAGACAACCACTTGACTGAAACTCTCCACGTAATAAATATTTCCCTGTATTTTCTTGACATTTTTCCATATTAATAATTCCATCATTTGGATTAGTCAACAAAACCAGCTGTAAACACTGACATCCACCTGCTGATATTTATCTTTCTGTTATAACAATATAGACAACAATGTTTTGAACATGATCATGATGGTTAAGATGTACCCAAAACACCCCAGCTTACTGATAATTTACCAACTTTTTTATAACGTTACTGTACAGTAGGAAATGTCAAACTGTCCATGTTAAACATCCAAGATACCGCATTATTGTTTTTCTTCACATTTAAACACCAGTCTCCCAGTTCCTCTCTGACCTCATCCTGTGTCAGACGTCCAGTGATGGAAGGTCAGGCGTAGAAACTCTCTGCCAACTTCCTCATTCTTTTGTTGCATCGTTTGGGTGACGGTGGAGGGACGACTAAGCCAAAAGACCTGAGTGTGACTTCATACGTATCATCTGATTCTTGGGAGTCCTGTTTGGAATCGACCACATCTTCAGAGGAAGGTCGGCGTTCGTCAGACGTGGCATCTTTCAACTCCTCTTTGGTCAGGTTTGGGTGACAGAATTTATAGTATACAGTCTTCAAAAACAGACCAAGGATGTAAACAGCAACAACGCTCAACACTGCAGTTAGAGCATTCAGCTGTGGTATCTTCAAGTCGGACGCTTCTGTGCTCATCTTCCAGAACCACAGGCCACAGAGCAGACAAATATCTAGCAGCATGTACCCGTGGTAGAGCAGAGCCTTGTTCCTCGATTTTCCCTCCACCACGTTGAACCAGTTGAAGTACCAAATAAGGCCTACGGTGGCTCGGAAAAGCCATTCTCCAGCAGAGCTGTCCATGAAGGACGTCTGGCATCTCCAGGCACAGAAAAACAAAACAAGCCAAGAGCAGAGGAAGTGAGCGAAGATGAACCAAGGCAGCACAGAGGCGAAGAGCGCCAACGCCACGAGGCGAGACGAGATAAGGAACAGGTTCCAGGAGAAGTAGACCAAAGACGACGCCACCTTCTGGTTTGCTTTATCTGGCAGGAAGGAGCGTAGGGAGCGGTGGTACATGGTCACGCTGCAGGCGATGGCTGAGGTCGACCCCAAGGCCTTCAGTACTGTGGAGAGGCAGAGTGAATGACGGTCAGCGGGTCATGGAGTTGGATGTTGCTTAGTAACAGTTGTGTAGTCTGCCGCCACCTGCCACTGGGTGGAGCTCCAGCCGCTGCAGCATGATTGTGAGCATGAGCACGAGCTGAGGGCTGCTCTCGGAGAAGGTCTCTATGAGGCGCAGCATGCTGAGGTCGTGGGCCAGAAACACAGCCAGACCCTCGGGGTTGGAGGTCTTTGTGAAGAAGCTGCGGACAGACATCTCCATGACCCCTGCATGTCTGAGGAGAAAAGGTCGTTTGTTACATCAGAAAAACACTCCAGCTGCTCAGACATATGAACTAAGTTTTTTTTTTACTCACACAGATCTGAAAATGCCTGAATCTGACAAATCAGTTTTGTATTTTACACTCAACACAAAATACAATTCTTTGTTCGCGATATGTTTTTATCACAATTTTAAACTTTTTAAACAAAATGAACTCCAGACAAATTCTGGCCAAATCCAACGATCCTTTCTTTGTCAGAACTCTGTGAAATGCTCTGTGAACCTCACCAACTGAAATTGTTATCTTCAATAAAAACCATATTTCTTTACAGATACACCCTACATCACCATTGATCTCCTTTTATCAAAAGTCAAACTGGTCTGGTCTTATTGACCTGGCTAACTGTCAATATATGAAACAGCATAAGAATATAAACACAAATGAAGGGGAAAGATCTTTACAGGAACACTGGAGAACACTGTTTGTGTCTGTGGAAGATACAAAATAAAAAAATACTACTAAAATACAGAGAAATTATTTAAAGTTTGTGAAGTTGATTCACATACAACACAAAGGGGAAGTCTTTCCTGCGTTAAAAACAAAAAGAAAATAGAGAAGTTCAGGGGACACACCTCTTGATGAGTCAGAACTCACCAAATACCAAACTTATCTTTATTTGTCATTGTGACACAGCCCAAATAAAACTTTAAAAGTTATCTTTATTTGTCATTGTGACACAGCACACCATGCAACGAAATTTAACCTCTGCATTTAACCCATCACCAAAGTGAACAGTGGGCAGCCGTGGTCAGCGCCCGGGGAGCAGTGCTTGAGGACGATGCCATGCTCAGTGCATCTCAGTGGTAACCTGGCAGTTGGTGGATTCGAACCTGGGGCCTTCCGGACCGAAGTCCGCTTCCTTTACCACTAGGCCACCACTGCCTGCCGTAAAGTTCCCATACCAGGAGTTGAACCCGGGCCGCCTGGGTGAAAACCAGGAATCCTAACCGCTAGACCATATGGGACTAGTACTGCAACTGGGATCATAATAATAATATTAATAATAATAAAGTCAGAGGTAGAGTCGGTGTAAATGCAGATGTGGATTTAATAAAATAAACTTTAGGGAGATACTGAATTTCTTTCACGAAAGAGCAAAAGTCCCAGAGTGTGTTGACATTTCAGATGCTTCAGATTAAAGGATCGTTGTTAGGATAAAATCTCATTAAAAACTTTTATCCGATGCTCAACAATGATTTACGGAACATTTTCCAGGAAACCATAGACACATAACGAAAAATGAAACCAGTCTGGTCATGTTAGTCAGTGAGTGACGTTTGTTAGTGTTTCCTCTGACCTGACGTAGGCTCCCAGCTGCAGTAGGTGGACCACCCCGAGCTGCCACAGGCTGAGACTCTTCTCAACCACTGTGCTTCTACTGAATTCCTCGTAGCTGTACCACAGCCAGCTGAAGACCTGGACCAGGATGGACGAGCCCACCAGAACCAGCACCAGGACACCAAGGATCACGTAGGCCTCCTCCTGGTAGAAAGACACAACTGCAAAAATGTCCAGAGCTATGTCAAGAACCAGGAATACCAGACCCAGGCATGTGAAGATGAAGTCCACGGGGGAGTAGCGGAACACGGCCATAGTTTCCTCAACAACTGCTCCTCATTCCGTCTGAGTCCAGGAACATGCTGTAATAAAGTGCTGTCAAAACCTGCGAGTTTGAGAAACACCCTCTGGTGCAACTGTGGCCGGAGTCAAAGTTTAGTGTAAACCCCTCCCACAAGAGAGAACGCCCACTCTGTCTTGGACAGGAATCTTAAAGGGAAATACACACATAAAGCATTTACACTATAAAAAAAACCACACTGTTTTAGGGAGAACATTCATCAAAATGACACACAAACACATGTCAACTCCGATGATTGGAACAGTTAAAGCTTTAATGAGACCAGAAGTCAAATGAATGAATGAGTAATAACCAGGATCATCACCTGAAGCAGCAAGTCAACCACATTTCTGTGGGTTCTGAGAACACTGTGTTGATTTTTCTAGGAGTGACGTACAGTAGTGTGGATGTAACAAATGAGGGAGAAAAAAAAGAGACGTGTTGCTGTTTTCTGAAGATCTGAAATCGAATCCAAGTTCAACATCAGACAAACTGCCTTCAGGGACAGGTGATTAAAAAAAGAAAGACAAACATGAGCTGAGTCAATGTAGTAAAAAACGAGTTCTTAGGCAACATACAAATGATGGTACATCCGCATTTCAACACTCATTTAAACTATGTCAAACTGCTGCTCTGAACGTTTAGTATGACGAGATAGGAAATTGTGAAAACAGAGATGATCTTAAACTCACAGCTCATCTGATTGAAATTTTGAAAATTACAGCTTGAGACAACAGGAATGTCACAATCGTATATATGTGTCATCTTTCATGTGCCAGCAAATTGATGAACCCCTCTGTCTCACTGAGTGTTTTCCTTTGACTTCACTTGTGTGCTGTAAAGTTGAGTAAGGCAAAATCTAAGATGTTTTTGTCTGTTATATTAAATCAGATTCCTGAGCTCATGTAGTGTAGGCCTGATGTAGGACATCAGTCCACGGTCACACTGTGTGACGCTGTCGTGTTTAGAGTTAGTCTGACTAAATCTGGACACACAACATTTCCATTAGACACACTGAAAATAGAAATTTATATACAGTATATATATAAAAAAACTGTTCAACTGTGCTATTGTGTTTGAAATTTAAGAGGTAGGTGGACATGCTCATTCTTCATGTGTTATTAATGTGTAACTGCCTGTTGTCTGTCAACACAATGACAGTAACAAGCACCAGCAGCAGTGAAACAATGAGAGACTGAATCCAAGGCTTTGAACTGGAGGTAGTCAAAGGAGGATAGGTTTATGTTTCGGGAGCTCTCCAAGATTTGCGTTAACTGATTGTTATCTTAAGCAACTCCATTGTCCTATGACCTGTGGCCATGGTAAAATTAATTAATTGTACAGCATGTAAACAACAGTCAAGTCAAATCAATCTACAAAACCAGGTCCGACCATTTCTGCATCAAAGATTGGATTCTGTTCTGTTTGTGAGGTCTGGGTATCAAAAATTGGATTCTGTTCTGTTTGTGAGGTCTGTCCTTCTGAAAGCTTTCTGCTTGGAGTAAAACACAGAAGCCTGGCTGGCCATTCGTTTGTTGAAAAGCTGGGCAGGCAAAGTGCCCTCCTGGGTGGAAAAGTTTCTGAATGACACTTCGGCATCAGGCAAATCTGCAGCCACCACTGGGGGCCGCCACAGTTTGGGGTGGAAGCAGCTGTAGTAAATGGATTTGAAGAGCAGTCCCAGCAGGTAGGTGAGAGGAAGACAGATGATCAGAGCCATGTCGTACGATCGGGTCTGCACCGGGTCTCTGTAGGACCACCACGTGACCAGCAGGATGACTGCATCCATGGTGACGAAGGAATGGTAGATGATGCTTCTGGCGCGTGTTCGACCTTCTGCAACATTAAACCAGCTGAAGTACCAAATGAGGCCCACGGTGCCTCGGTAGAGCCACTCACCACCCGTGCTGTCCATGAAGTTCGTCCTCTGTAGCCACACCCAGAACACAAAGACAGTCCAGAGCAGGAGAAAGTGGATTGCGATGTAACCCGGCAGCACAGAGGCAAACAGGGCGAGGGCCGCCACACGTGGCGCAATAAGCAAGAGATTCCAAAGAAAGTAAATAACAGAGGAGCCCCAGCCCTGCTTAGCTTTGTCAGGAAGGAAGGAGCGCAAGGAGCGGTGGTAATCCACCACCATCCAGGCGATGGAGGTGGTCGACGCAGCAATGCTCACATCTGAGGAAGCATAAGTTCAATTATTAGTGTGCAACCAAGAGGAAGTTAACAAGTTCAAGAAATACCTGTGGTTGGTCATGACACACCATGACCTTAGCCACAGCTGTTTTTGCCCCACGCAGAGAAAAACAGCTGTATTTAGCTGAGTGGACTTAGTAAACGAAAAAAAGGAACTCACACTGAACACTTCTGGCCTTGTTGGTGGACAGCATGACATAGATCATGAGCGTCAGCTGAGGAGCGCTCTCACAGAACGTCTCGATGAGTCGCAGCATGCTGAGGTCATGTGTCAAGTAAACGGCGTACTCTGACCCTTCCTCTTTCCGCCACCAGACCCTGAAGCCTTGACGTATGGCAGAGATGTGTCTGCACATGTGAAAAGACAGGTCGTCAGTCATGTGAAACACTGAGGGCTGGGAAATTACCCTGAGTAAATCTCTAACACTTTTTAAAAAGTTAAACAATTGAGGTGCATTCCATGAACACTTTTACAGCAGATTACATCACTGACAGAAATGGCATGCTGTCATTTGTGTCTTCTTTTACAGTAAACTCGTAACTAGAGAGAAGTGGCATCAGGTGAAAAAATGTCCTGAGATAAAACACTTTTAACATTATTATCACATTATAATTGCTTAACATGACAGTTTTTCTTGTAAATCCCATTTGTATATGACACATACATATATGACAAATCAATATACTCACCAATACTTAACAAATAAGCATACTTATTATATATTTAAGTCAACTGATTTCACAGTTTGTGGTTTACCTGCAGAGGAAGCCCAGCTGCAGCACATGTAACAGGCAAGAGAGCTTTGCTCTGTCGCCGAAGATAACGGTCCCTGATGTGGCTTGGGCAGCGCTGAAGCCCGGCAACTCACGGTCATACTTCAACCAGAACCAGCTGAACACCTGGACCACGACAGAGGACAAGACCATAAGGCTGACCAGCACCGCGAACCACAGGAAGTCACCGCTGCGATAGAATTCGGTTGCCACCCACAAGTCCGAACCCCAATCGACGAGGAAAGTACACACCCCCATAACGGAGAAGACGAAATCAATCCAGGAGTATTTAGAAAACACGGCGGACGACGAAGAGTCCTCCATGACGGGGCAGCAGCTGAGCAGCAGTTAGCTGACCTGTTGCTGTGAAGCTAACACTCAGCTAATACCGTTATTTTCCTCCCAACTCCGGCTCCACTCTCCCTTTAAATAAAAAAGTGTATCAACCTTCATAGTTAACCAATGGAATCGAGCATTACCATTACAAGCAATAACAAAAAGATACAGCTGTTTTAAATATTTAAAAATAACAAAAAAGATATTCCCCGCCGTTGATGTTGAGCAGCAGCGATTTGTTTGTATTTTTTCCTCACCTTGTGATGAACCCCGCCTGGCGCGTCTCATATGCTTAACATTACCAAACACACTCCGGGATGCAACGGTGCCATGATTGAACGTACATCCAAATTAATTTAACGGTTCAACAGTTTAAAAAGATACATTTAAACAGAAGACTTTTTAAATATTATGTTAAGCTGTACCTGTTTAGCTTAGCTTTAAAAAATATTTTTCTGTACTAACTCTAATTTATTAATATGTATTTATATTATACATCACATTTTACGCATATTAACCAGTGCAGATTTTAAAATGATCTTAATGCAAAAAATGAAATTAAAGTCGCACGTTTTATTTGTTTATAGAATGATTAAGAACACTGGAATAAATAATACATATGTTTACACCCATAGAACAAGTTGTAATAATACCAATGTAATAATTATTTTTAAACAAATTATGCACTAACATATACACTTTTGTTATAGTTTCTTGAACCTTTCATAAACCGTTTAGTTGGACTACGAACCCAAGATTTGCCTGTACGTACCTGTCAGACCCAACTCGGGGCTCAAACTCAGTTAGAAAAAGCCACACCCCTTTTGTCGGGACCTACAGTGTAACAAATACTTGTTATAAGTGTGTGCGCGGTTGTCGGTCTTCGGTAGCTTTGTTAGCGCACCAGGGCTAACAAGATGTCGCGGGTGTACATCGGTCGACTGAGCTACAGGGCGAGAGAAAAGGATGTGGAGAGGTTTTTTAAAGGTTACGGGAAAATTCTGGAAGTCGACCTGAAAAATGGGTAATGCCGTAATTCTTTTTTTTTTTTTTAATTATATGTGAAAGCGACCGTCTGCGTGGGCCTAGCCGCTTGGGGCCTTGTTAGTCGCAGCATGGCTGGCTAAATACCAGTTTCATTAGTCGACGATAAAACACTTTCTGCATTGGTAAATTAATAGGTAAACTTTATTTCGACATAATATAGTGATATTATTTGCAGCAACACAAATCTGACGAGGTGTGGCATGCATTTGTTGTTCCTCTTATGTTGGTAATGTTAGCGGTAGTTAGCTAACGTTAGACGTGGCAATGTCACGAATAATAGCCCATGTGCGGAGAAACCAAACGCTCTTGTTTTGTGCAATTTTAGCTTGATAAACCACATGTTCACTCATGAGTATCACACTTAGTAGCTCTAATGGAAAAAATGCATTATTTCAACCATAAATCTTTGTTTCCATTTGCATTACATCACCCAGCCCTATTTAAGTGAATAGGAAACGGATTTAATGTGCAACAAAGATCTGCGAATGAGCGGCAACACGAATCAGTTGCTTCATATCCTTCCTCATATTTTTAATTAAACATTTCGCTCACAATCACCCACGTGCTTAATTACTCAAATTAATATATATTTTTTCCAGGATCGATATAACAAAACCAAGTTCAAATTTCACAGTCTTGAATATCATCTGACGCAATTTAGACGCCCCCTAATGGTGTGATGTGCTTAAATACGCAACCTGAATGTCTTCTTTCCACAGGTATGGATTCGTGGAGTTTGACGACCCCCGTGATGCAGACGATGCAGTGTATGACCTGAATGGGAAAGAGCTGTGTGGCGAGAGGGTCATCGTGGAACACACCAAAGGACCTCGTCGTGATGGAGGCTACGGTGGTGGTGGTGGTGGCGGCGGAGGCGGCGGCGGTGGAGGAGGAGGTGGTGGTGGCGGAGGTGGCGGTGGAGGCAGGAGTAAGTGTTTGAAAGAGTATTGTTTTTATCTTCTAAAGTTGTCTTTGTTATTATTATTATTTTTTTAAATTAGTCATCGCAGGGATACATTGATCCAAAATTCAACGCGACAATATGAAAGCCTGTCCTTGGTGGCTCGTGTGCAATCAGTGTGAGTGAAGTGACAGAGATTCAAAGCAGGTTGAGTTGAAAGGCTGATTGTCTTATACAGTTGGTGGGGAAAAAAAAACCTTTTGTGCACATCAAGATCTAAGGAACCTGATTTTCAGAAGCTGCACCTTTTCTTGACATTCTATAAAATACTTTATCAGCCAGTTTCAAACTGAACACTTTCTCATTGTCAATACTCTCGTCCAGTTTTATTTTCACAGGGACGCCTTAGTGTAACGTCAGGTCATGCCGGAGCAGTGCTTTTTAGTGTTGTCTTGCAAATTGAGAGACCTTAAGTGTGTCTTATCAGTGCATGACTTAACAGAATTTCCGAGCACCGGAGCCACCAATGATTTTAAAATCTTGTGTTAATGCTGTCTTGTTGTAGGCGATGTAAAATATAACATAACTGGTTGTTAACTATCCTGTAATCTATTGATGTCTTTAGTATTTTATTTAAACTGACTGTCAATTTAAAGGTAAAGATTTAACAAAGAACCTCAATGTTTTAATTGAAAGAGTCCTTTGCTGAGTGCCTGCCCCTATTGCTGGCCATGGTGTCCCCCCTTTCCAAGAGTGTGGTTTGACCATTCTGGGCCCCTGGGCAGACCATAAAAGGGAGCCATTGTGAATGAAGACCGCTATTTCCATTAGGCCCAGGCCGGGTGGTGAGGATGCCATGGGTTTAGGAAAAGATGTGGGTTCAGCTCTTATAGGTGCCTGAAAACAGAACATGTTTTGTAACAGTGACATGTTTTAGATAGGCTAGCCTAATAAATTGATTTAATTCTCCGCAAGTATTTCCTCAGTAAGTTTGTTTTTGAATTTCTTTCTTTTTTTCTAATGTAGACGTTAGGACTTTTGAGCTGTAAACCATTAAAAAAAAGAACTACATTTGTCAGAGAGGCTGTTAAATTTGAAATAGTTTAGTCATCATTAGGAATAATGTCCTTCTTTTTTTTTTTTTTTTTTTTTTTACTTTTTGCTTTTCCCCACTCTTTTTTTTAATTTATTTTATTTATTTTCCCAAGAGAATATTTGTACCTTTTTTTAGGATGTAGCTTGGAGGTTTAGTATAACTGCTTCAACCTGGCTCTTTTTTGGCCCTTATTTTGCCTTTGTCTTCCTGTTACCCTAAAAGGTGGATATGGACGCTGGGGAAGAGACAGGTACGGTCCCCCGATACGGACAGATTATCGTCTCATTGTTGAGAATCTTTCCAGCCGCTGCAGCTGGCAGGACCTAAAGGTATGCCATTTGTGGACTGAAACAACACTGCAAACCATTAATTCCAGTTTCGATTCAATGCCTGAGAAGTCGGACAGGTTTTTAGGATCTAACACGAGTCGTTCACATAGCATTTGTTTCTGATTCTGTAAAGGACTACATGAGGCAGGCCGGAGAGGTGACATACGCCGACACCCACAAGGGTCGGAAGAATGAGGGGGTGATAGAGTTCAGGCTCTACGCTGACATGAAGAGGGCTCTGGAAAAGCTGGACGGCACTGAGGTGAACGGCAGAAAGATTCGACTGATCGAGGATCGCCCTGGAGCCAGGCGTCGCCGCTCTTATTCACGCAGCCGTAGCCGCTCCAGGTGAGAAGACGGGTTAAGGGTAATCATCGATATCTGCTGCTCTGTTTTAAGTAAATATACTCAAATATACATTTGTTTTCAGGTCTCGCTCCAGGAGCCGTAGGTCTCGCAAGAGCCGCAGTCGCAGTGAGAGCAGCAGCCGTAGCCGCTCCCGTTCCAGGTGGGAAATTTTTTAATATGAGAGATCAGAAGTTGGTGTGTTTTGCTGTAGACTTTTGCACTAAGCTATAGATCATGAAATAATTGCATATCTTCACCCTTGCAGCCGATCTCAAAGCAAGAAAAGCAAGAGCAAAGGCAAGAGGGAGGAAGAGGAGCGCAGCAACGGTGCGCAAAAGAGCAAGAAGAGCAGGAGCCGCAGCCCCAAAAGTCGTAGCCCCAAGAGCCGCAGCCCCAAAAGCCGCAGTCCTAAGAGTCGCAGCCCCAAGAGCAAGAAGAGCAAAAAGGAAGGAAAGAAAGGGAAGAAGGAAACGTCCATGTCCAGGTCTCGTTCTCGCTCTAGGTCTCGCTCTAGGTCAGGAATTAAAGATCGTTCCAGGAAGTCCGACTCAAAGGGTCGAGACCAGCCCAAGAGCGAAGACGAGGGAGGCGACCCAGAAAGGGGCTCACGTTCCCGCTCCCGTAGTCCCATTGAATCGAAATCCAGAGCCAGGTCTAAATCTAAATCCAAGTCGAAGTCTAAATCCCGGTCCCCCTCACCGGCCAAGGCCCGTTCCCGCTCTCGTTCGGCCTCAAGGTCAGAGTCCCGCTCCATGTCTCGTTCTCGCAGCCGTTCCCGCTCATAGTTTAGCTTTTGGACTGTTTGTCTCCAACCCTTCTCCTCCTGTCTCCCCCTGTCCTTCGTTAACATTCCCTGAACCCATCAGTAAAGCCCTGCCCCATTTTTGATAAATAGTTGTAGAATACCAGGCAGTCGTGATCTGCGTCTTTTATGCACATGCTAATCCTCTTCATTTGACTTTTACTCTGCTTTTTGTTTTGCTTTTTTTGATCAGAGTTGTCTCTTGTGAAGGTGTGTGTAAAATAACAGGGTGCAATCACCGTTTTATAGGTTTAAATGATGAACATGGTGAGTGTGTCGTAGCCTTTTTTAAAAACATCACCCTTGGAAACATGCTGTTTGTTTGTCACTACGCTTGATGGGAATGTGATCCTACATCGCTTTACCCTTTGTCCAACCCTTGTAACCTTTTATTTCAGAATAAAATTGCCTGTTAAGGACTGACTTCTGTTCTGTCTGTTATTCATTACCATTTTAAAAAGTAATTCTCAGATAAAAGCATTGTCTCTGTTCACCTGGAGTTGGACAGTCATTTGTATCAGATCAAACCACAAAACAACCACCATCTGAGAACACTGACATGTGAAGAGCAGACTACAGTCAGGTGACCATGTCACATGGTCTTGACCAGTGCTGTCACTCACCTCTGGTGTTGTGTGGGTTGTAGATGTACGGTAATAGCACCACTTCCTCAGAACGACACCGACCTTTTTCCATCTCGTGCTGCTGGGACGAAAGGCAGTTTCTGAATGTCTGAGAATCTAATGGACACCTATTACTAGCATTGACCATAATATTCAAGGCCATCAAAATCAAAGACAGACCATACTGGATGTTTTATGTTGCAGCAGAAGCAGCACAGGTTTGTATAAGCTGTCAAATTAATGTGGTTTTAAGATCATCCACACCAGTGTCATGATCTTTCATATTTCTGATTAAATCTGAAGAGTTTAAAGATCTACATGTAGCAAACACACACGTTTGTACCAGATTTATCACCAACATACCTGGTAATCTTCTGGGTTCTGTCTCACTGGGGGTCAACCACCAACCATTATCTACTGTGAGTTTGACACAGGTCTGGATTCCTGGTACCTGGTGTTTTTGTCATTGCTGGTTGTGTGAAGTCCATATGGTGACCTGTCTTGACCTTATGGACTTAATCATAACCAAAAAGAAGAATGATCACCACAAGAGGGCAGTCCTGGAGAATCCTCTCCTAGCGTCGAAAATGTGAATTTCAATGCCACCTTGTGGACAAAACTGGAACAGATTTGAATTCAGCAGAAGCTTGTTTCCTATAAAAATCATTTAATTACAGTAACATTGGAGCACGTGTGTCTGCAGTCCTCTACATGTAAACACTGACCAAGAAGCTTCTGGAGTCTGGACATTTCCTTGTTTCTTTCTTGTGTTTTTAGTATTTCCAGTCTGTTTCTTTCTCTTCACTGCTACAATGAACTTCAGGAAGAGCTGCGTCTCTGGTCACTGAAGAGACGCCGCCCCCGCGCGCCTCTCTTCCTCATCGCCACAGACGTCCACGTCAATCGTCGTCGTCCTCCTCAGAAGACGAGCGCATCACTCCACCGCTGTCGTCCCTGTAACACCGGGCCAGGAGACGCAGCTGCTCCAGCGCCTCCTTGTAGTCGTCTATCTCTGGTCCATGGGAGAGGAAGCTGGGGGCCACGCGGCGGATGTCAAAAGTGCTGGTGCGATGGTGAAGCTCTGACAGCCAGGTGTCAAGAACTGGTCCAGACTGGAGGGAAGTCATGACGGGCAGAGACGAAACGGCAGCAGCTGAGAGGGAGGGGTCAAAACAGAAATGTTGAATTAAACCATAATGACTTCTTATGTTCAATATTTAGTACATTTCCATGGTCTTACAGTCTGGTGGAGGAGGCTGGTACTGCAGGAACCCCTGAGGATCAAGGGATGAGCTGAAAATCTGAGGGAATGGGGGGGTCAGTTTACTGGGGGCTGACACCAGTTGCACAGAACTGGGGAAAGATTAAAAAAAAAGAGTCACTGAATATCATCTTGTCATTGGAGGTAAAGAGTTAAAAACAGTTTTCAGCGTCAGGACTCACTGTTGAGTAGCAGGGTAAAAAGATCTGAGGTACGACAGCAGAACGTCCTCTCCACTGTGGAGATCGTGCAGAGCAGTCGCTGGTTTAGTCCCCGGAGCTAAAGAGCTGGAAAAGAAGCAGAAACAACTGACGATTATTTTGATGAAATGTCAACATGAAAATAACACTCGACTTAAAGGTCAAGACTCTGACCTCGTCAGTCTCTGCCCCTCGAAGCCTTTGAGCGTCGCCCACTGGATGTAGCATCGTCCGTCGCCCGCCTCAGGGCAGCCCGACAGCGGCTTCCAGGGTAGAGTGTCTGAACAGGAGCTCAGAGCATCAGGGAGACAGCTGCCGTGCATCATGGGAAATGGGACGGCACCGTAAGCAGTCACCACCTGTAACATTTATATTCAAAAACAGTTAGCATCAGCGTCATCTCTTTTCTTCTGGAAATTCTCTCTTTTTTCGAGCAAAGAGAAGTCACCTTTCTGCCTGAAACTGCCAGCGTGTCTGCCAGCTGCCACATGGGGACGCTGTTGTTCCTTAGCCTGTAAGGCACAGTGAGAGCATCCAGAGCCAAAGCCAGGACGGCACTGGAGTGGTACCACAATGAAGACTGAGGAGAAGGAAAATAAAAGTACTTTTTAAAAACAAATATATATTTACACACACATATTTATGAACTATATTTATATGTGTATATATAAATAAATATATGTGTCCATATACAATATATATATAAATTATATATATATACACACACACACACAAACAACTTACAAATATACACACACACATATATATGTACCTATATATTACATATATAGGTACATATATGCAACCTTTACCAAAGATTTCCTTTTATTTAACTGATTGTTTTCTTAATCGTGAAGCCTTACATCATAGCTGAGGTGAGGAAAAGCTGTCGGAGAAGGGGGTCGTATTCCAAACCCACCACGAAGAGTCAGGGGACAGAAGAAGGAGCTCTGATTGGCCAGTTGGACGGTCCCTAACGTGCAGTTTAGAAGATGGTACAAGTCCTTGACTGGAGTCTGGTTTTGGAAAACGAGAAAACAAATTAAAAATCTGCTGTAATTAAAATGTTCCAAAAAGAGTTACTTGGTCAGTGAGGCTGTTACTCACTGAGCCTGGATGACTGACAGGTGCTAAACCCCAGGTTAAAATCCCTCTGCTACCATAAGACTCCTGCAGCATCTCTGTGACCGTTGACCCCAGTCCTGCAAACCCATCAGCGATGTCACAGAACACCTGGAAACCCTGAAACAAAAAAGAAAAAAATAATAAGATAGAAAGAGTTAGAGGAAAATAAAACACAACCACTTTTACTGGATTTAAACCATCACATCACAGCTACCTGAAGGTAATCACACTCCTCAGCAAAGAAGTGCAGCTTGTCCTCGAGGTCCTCCAGCACTGACCCCTGCAGGAGGGACTGTCCCTGACCGAACGTTTCCAGTCGATGAGCCTCGCTGAAGACAAACACAAATAAAAGAAAATTAATTTACAGCGCAGTTGGAAATTTTAATTTGTTAAATATCAAGTTTAAAGTGCTTGGAAATGAACACCTCCTTCCTGCAGTGACCAGTATGAGTGCATTTAGGGCCATTAGAAATGAATGGGATGTGGAATTATGGGATATATAGTGCGTGTGAATTTTGTGTATAGCCTGACATCTGCTGGGGAAAAATGGTACTACAATATCAGAACTGTGACCTGGCACTTACCCGTCATGGTTGCACTGGTGGATGATGGAGATGGTGCGGGGGTGCAGGTGGATCCTGAGGAAGTCTGACCACACCTTCACACTGCCCTCCAGTCTGTAGCTCTTCTGAATCCGAGCCAGTTGACTGTTCACTGTGTCCACCTTCAATGACTGGGCCACTGCCCGTGCTGCTGCCACACACAAAAAAAGGGGAGATTGTTTTTATGTGACAGCAGTTAAATGTAACATTTTACATTCAAACTGTTAAACATTTTTTACCTGAATGCTGCAGCACGGAGGGGCAGGGAAAATCTGTCCCCGCCAGAATTTCTCCTTTCTGGAAAAAACATGGTATACTATGTTACTCTTAATACACTACTGAACTTTCCAACATATTAACCTCCAAAATATATTTTTAGAAAAAGGTTTAAAATAAGTAAACCCTGGCCTGGGATGAATCAGTATTTTCAACTTTCATTTTGAAAATCTATCAGTGAATTGGTTAGAATAAGGAAATGCAGGTTTGTTTGTTTTTTTCGTTTTTTAAATAGATTTTCTGAGACTTTCTATAAACTCCATTATTGATAAAAAATACTTTCAACACATTTCTGTATATTAGGCTCTCTATATAAATATATTTATATATGTATGCATTTCTTTTTTCCATAACTACTTACATCCAACTTATCTAGATGTTCCAGGAAGCAGTTCTTCGTCTGAGGACTTTCTCTGTAGCTCATGAGGCTTCCCTTCCTGGAATAAAATAAAATTTGTTTACAAATATAAAGTTTAAATTTTTATACAACAGGGAATGAAACACAAGGCATTTTAACCAAATACTTATTTACCAAGTGAGAGGAGACTCGTCCTTTTCTGCATCATACAGGCTCCCCTCCTGCCGCAGAGTCCGCAGACTTCCTGTCATAGAGGGACAGAGAGAGACAAGGAGAATGAAGAGTTAAACTGAGGGTTAAAGAAAAAAGCCTTCTTGAAAACACGTCAGCAGACTCAGTGTTCTTGTTGCCAAAAATAAAGCTCGGAGACCACAGAGTGGCCATCAGTGGAAACATGGGGCTGTTTTTATTACCCTTAAGGTCCATTGCAATGAGGCGAGGCGTGTAGGTGACGTGTCCGCCCACAGTCTGTCCTTCACGGAACACCGCATCGCTCTGGATCTCACCTGGCGGCGTGTTGGGGTCATACGACAAAAAGAAGCATCCTTGGGTGAAAAAAAAATGGATGAAAAGAGGATTTGGTTGTAAAAATAAAATAAAATACATTCAATTCTTATCTGTCATCTGTTGGATTTGTTGACACAAGTACTGTTAATTATGACGTGTTCATACAAGACTTGATTATGACGTCACAACATTCATATTCTCAAATAATTAGCTTTAAAAATAACATGTTATAAAAATACACCCTTCCTGTCCATGTTATGAGGTTCATTAATTCCAGTTGTTTTTTTTAAATATCTTTACATTTTTTTGGAAACATCATTTGACACTGATTTTTAAATTACAAAACGATTCCAAGTCCAAGTTGGATGACTTGACAACAATTCTCCACCACAGATAGATGGACTAATTAGCCTGAGTAACAAAACAGTATCCGTGGAAATAGAACTGTCTACGCGTAAAGTTATGATAAAAAAAAACAGTTCCCAATGAAAAAGCATCCAGAGTGTACAGTACAGCTGACTTCTGAACACACAGCGTATACACACACAGACGCAGACACTTCAGCAGCTCATGCAGTGCTAGCTGGCTAACGTAGCTTAGCCTTCGACGCTACAGAGTTTTATTACCTGCAAATTCCACCAGTGAGTTCCCACAAAGTTGGAATAATGTCCAAGCTGAAGAGTAATAACCTCCCTACAAACGCCGCTCATCGTAACAGGTCTCAACAGCCACAAATAATTAATAATAATAATATTCTTCTGTTCAACACTGCCGACATGTTTGAAAATGACAACTGCGGACAGAGACAAACCCACAGAGAAAAGAGGGCGGGATCTGGGCAAAAAAGCGCGTATTCCATTGGCTAACAGAAAGAGTCCCTGATGTTATTGGACAAAACTCACTGGGCGGATGCCTGATAGTTTGGATTCACCGTGTCGTAGATTCACATGTGGTATACACGTCTGTTCCATTGATGGTTTTAATGATTTTATTTTATGAACTTTTATGAAGCTAAACTATATATTTTTTAGTCGCTGGATTAAAAAAATTGAATTTTTTTAAATAATAAATTCAAATATGGTTAAACAGGTTTAATTAAATTAATATATATTTATATTATATTTATATTTTGTGTATTTTGTCTAGATATTTTACGTGTTTCCCCCTGATCTTACATATGCTGATTATGTGAAATCCTGTTCAATTAAAATATAGCAGAACCAGGCAACGACCACAACACCAAGAAATAAAATATAGGGATTTGTTTTGAATCTTTTATTAGAGCAGCTTTGGAATTCTAGTGATGGAATACGTTTGGAAATGTAAAAATTCTACATTTGGACAAGAGTGTAACAGATGGTGAGACACATTTCATCCTTAAATATCTTTATTGATGATTGATGAATGTGGTTTTGTTGTTACCAGACAAACAGACACAGGTGGAGCAAATGTCAAGGTTCAACGCATTTCACTTTTTAAGCAAACAGGTCGAGAAACGGCTGGAAGAAGCTGCGCAGCGCCCCCAGTCTGTCCTCCATGGAGGTCTTCAGGTCTACGTTGCTCTTCTCAAAGTGGTCCTTGATGTCGTCTGCGACGGTCTGCATCTTGTCCTTGATGTTGTCCACCTGGGACTTCAGCAGGTCATTCAGGGTGTTGATCTTGGCCTGGGTGTTTTCTCGCACCTGAACAAAGTAAGGCTCGAAGCGCACCTTCATCTCCTCCATGCTGTCAGAGGCTTTGGACTGAAGCTCCTCCAGGTACGCAGCCACATGTCTGCAACGGGGGACACAGGAGCACCACAGGAAAAGATTTATCGCCAAAATAAGAGCAGGATAAAACAACTAAACTTGACATGCCAAACATGAAATTCAAAGTTCACATTTAGAAAAAAAAAAAAAATCCAAACATGAAATTCAAAGTTCACGTTTGAAAAAATATTTATATATAATTATACTTATTATTATTAGAATATTAAATACCTGTTTTAACCAAAAAACTTATGATTATTACAATATTAAATACCTGTTTTAACCAAAAAATAAACAGCTAGCCAACTAGCAGCCAAATTAATTAATTTTTAAAAGTTTAAAAGTAGCAAGGATGAAGCAAACGTTAGCCAAACAGTAGCTAACAAATAACAATGATACACCCACAATAGATTTCTGGTGTTTGTTCTATGTTGAAGAGCTCAAGGAGTTACAGCCAGTGACTTTGGTCTGGTTGGTTCTGGTTGTCTCTCTCTCTCTCTCTCTCTGTCTCTCCCTCTCTCTCTCACCTCTTGATCTCCTGCGTGTCCTTGCTGAGGCGTTTCTTCATCTTGCGGGTGTAGGCGCTGACTCTGATCCTGACGTCGTCGACGTTCTGCTCCATCATGGTCTGAAGCTCCTGCACGTACTTCTCCATCTGATCCTTGGCCTCCACCATGTGCTCACGGAGTTTTCCGGCCATTTTCTCCAGGTCGTCGCCCAGGTTGTCCGCAGCTTCCCGGGTGTAGGGCGCCAGCTTGTTCTGCAGGTCCTCTTTGTATGAGTTCAGCTCGGACATGCTGTCCTGGATCAGTGTGCTGAGACAAGAGGAGGTTTGTTTAGTGGATCAGAACTGGGCCCCAAAGACGATGGGTCACGGCCAGTTCTTTACCGATGCATCCACAGAAAGTGTGGCCCACATTCCTGTGACCCACAGGGGTCGAGTTCTGACTCACATTCAACACTGTTGCATAAGATAAACTTATCTGGTCCACATCTGGTAATAAAATCTGGGCCATATTTGCTGACGTTGGATCAGACAAACATTGACATTGATGTCATTCATTTTGTCTTTTTGACCAAATAAACCATGGCCTTGTAGTGGTCCGCAACCCAGATGTTGGGGACGTCATGTTGGACTTGAAATGTATCTTATAAAAAAAAAAAGAAAAAACTCACTCCAGTTCTTGGCTGATCTCGGAGCTCTTGATGTTCATGACCAGCTCGTCGGCCTTGGTGCTCACGTCCGTGAAGTAATCCTTGAACTGGTCCACGCTGACCTCCCAGGGGAACAGGCGGCGAGCCTGGCAGCCTGGACGTCACAGGGGAACACACATGGTGGACACGAGGGTCACTTTAAACTCATACAAGAACAACTCTTTATTATTTTCTATTTTCTATTGTTGGTTGAAGAGATTTTCAAAATAAACTCTGGGACTCGTCATTCTGTCAAAATGTTCCTATTTTTTTCTCCCTGCTCCCTTCCTTCCTTAGTACACTTTTTTCCCTTTTTTCCCAATTTTTCTTTTATTTCTTATATCCCAAACCCTACTGACATTTATCCTCCTCCCTTTTCTTTCTAAACTTCAGTGAAAATACTGAACACATTTAAAGATTTAATGCGGAGAAAAAAAGTCAAAATTGAAAGATTTACCTGACCAAACGGCCAGAACGAGAACAACTGCAAACACCCTCATGATGATCAGACAGGAGGTAACCTGGAAGAAAAACACAACACGTTATAAAAAGAAAAAGAAAATCAATGTCTGATCAACGAGACTGTTAGTTACAGTGTAACTTTCAGAGTAATAATAATCCAAATCTGACTGCAATCCAAAATTTGATCATCAACGCAAAATAAAAAAATAAAAAAATATATATAATTATTCAGTGGTGGAAGTAGCAGAAGGTATTTCCAGGAGGGGCCGGTGGTCTTACCTCAGTGGTCCTGGTGGTCTGTGACGTCTGTGATTCTCTCTGACCCTGTCACTGTATTTATAGGCCGCGGTGACATCGATTTGATCCAATAAATATCAGGAGGTTTGCCGACCGAAGGTCCCGATCACTGCTGCGCTGTTGTCATCTTTTACTGCTCTTTATGGCTGTTTGGGCTCCACGTCCACGGAGCCACAGCAGCGAGCTAAGGTCAGGAGTTAGAGGAGAAGAACACTCTCCCCCCTCCTCCTCCTCCTCCTCCTCTTCCTCCTCCTCCTCCTCCTCTTTTTTCTCACCCCCCGCTGGAATTATTATTCTTTCATCAGGGCCTTTTTCACTTCTTTTAAAGGACTTTGTCGTCAGTTTGTGACTTCAGTCATGATTGAATCAGATTACAGATTATCCTTGTTTGTCATCGCCACCACAGAGCGGCTGACGGACCAACAGTTAAAGGCCAAAGGTCACTGTGTGCATACAAACATCTCTGTCCAGAGTCTACTTTAACAACTGCTGCCTGTTGTTTGTGTGAAAAAAAATGTACTGTATAATTATATTTATAATAATGACTAACTGAAATATACATAATCTGATTTTGAATTTTATTTAAAGACATTTACATTAAACAAAGAAACTTTTGAATATAGAAGAGAACTTTGACAATATTGCAGTAGTACTCCTCCTTTTTTTTGTAACTGAGTCAGAAGATCAGTGCACACGGTGTGTGACGTCACTGAACAGCAGAGGTCGGGGTGAGAGGAGGTGAAGACAGTGGTGAACAGTCACCCTCTGATGTAAGGGACCGTAAACCTGGGCCGTTCACAACAAGGCTGGAAAAATGCTGGTTCAAAAACATCTGAACAAAACAGACCAGAGGTCAGTTTGTAAGTCAAGAAAATCAGTATGAAAGAAATAATAATAATAATAATAATAATAAACCCCTATATGTATTAAATAATGTATGCATATATTCAGTGCCAACTGCATTTAAACGAGCAACGTATTATATATATTATATGGACAATGTCTTCAGACGTTGTGTTTTTACTATTTATTATTGTAGCACTTTAATTCTGTGTATTTTTATTTGTTTTAATAGTTTTTATACTTGAGTTAACTTTTAGATACTTTTCATGATTTCTCTAATGTTTCGTTATTTCTTGTCCAGCACTTATTTTTATCATGTTTTGCAGCTTGAGCTGTGGTGTTATCGACGACTGAAACTCCTTTTACTTTAACTTTTTTTTAAATACTACTTCTAGTTGTTTTTTCACTCACTTCCAAATTCATTTTGAGTTGTTGTCTATGATGTTACCAGAATGATCCAGAACGATTGGATTGAAATAAATCGTTTTTTTGTGCATGAATAAAAACAGATTCAAATCAAAATACTGTGGATTTTCATTCATTTTATTGTTGTTTCACAGTTGACAAGTATGTTTTTCATAAAAAGAAAATTGAATCCATTTTATTTCTAGGGACATGAATTGTGACAAAAATGTAAAAAACAAAATTAAAAAAAATGAATTTACTGCAGAAAACTGAGGTTCAAAGACTTTGGTAAAAAGAAACGGTTCTGATGACTTGGTTCCTGGTTCTACTGGTGGTTTATTTACTGCATCATCTTGGTGAAGGACTTCCAGAGACTGACCAGCTGCCTCTTCAGACGCCGAGCGTCTTCATCCAGCTTGGCCTGCAGCTCCTCTCCGTACGGGGCCAGGTTCTGCTGGATTTCCTGGGTCTTCTGGGTCAGCTGGGTCTGGAAGTTCTGGGCCACGGGGAGCATGCTCCTCTGGAACTCCTCCACGCTCTTCTCCACCTTCTGCCTCATCTCCTCGGTGAAGGGGACCATCTGCTCCTGCAGCTGCTCAATGTTCTTTTCCAGCTGCTCCTTCAGGTTCTGGCTCCTCTGCAGCAGGACCGTCTTCAGGGCCTCGGGGTCCATGTTCTCGGCGTAGGGGACCGCATCGTTTCTCAGCTCCTCCACCTGCCCCCGGAGTTCTGACATCATCTCCTCTGCGTAGGGCTGCAGGTTGGTGCCCACGACGGTCAGGTCTTTCTGCAGACGGACCTTCAGGTTCTCGGCCTCCTGGGAGACCCTGGACACCAGGTCTTTGGTGAGCGGCGCCACCTGAGTGCGCAGGGTGTCGGTGAACTGGTTGACGGCCTTGGTGCTCTGAGAGATGAGGGTGCTGCAGGAACGCAAGAAAGAAAACAAACGTGATTCTTTGAATCATTGAACGTCTACTAGTTAGACAGATTGAGCAAAGGGTCATGGGACTCAAACCAACAACCCCTTTGAATAAAAACCTGATCCTAGACCTGGGCTGCCCCTGGAACCTTCAGTATAACCACGGAGGTTTAAGTCATCGTTAGTGTCACATGATTTCCCTCTGGTTGGCAGTGATCTCATTTAGAGGAAAATAGATGATAAATCACAGCTGATGATTTGAAAAAAAATCCTTGACAAATTCCAACCACCAGATGCTGCTGTAGAACATTTCAGCACAGGACACAGAGACGATGACGTCAGAGACGACTGGTTTGACCATAAGGAACCTTCCGGACTCAGACTTACTTGATGTCCTTTCCCAGCTCCGACTGCTGGATCTGCTTCAGCGACTCCTCGGCCGTGGTGGTGGCCTTGGCCACGTACTCCCAGAAGGCATCCTTCACCAGGTCCACCTGCTGTTTGGGCTGTTTGGGCTGCCGCAGCAGGCGGGCGTCACAACCTGGGAAGAGCAGCAGAACAGAGTCGTCAGTCGTGGCTCTTTCTGTCCACGTATTTGTCCGCGGCGGAGGTCAAAGACGGCCATATTTACCGGTGAAGACGACGAGAACGAGGACCAGCAGGAACTTCATGGCTCTGCAGCTGAGGCCGGAGGAACACAGTCAGTCTGGGCTTCAACACAACACCTACCACAACGTGTGACTGCTCTCTTACCTGAGGTGGCTTCTCTGTCAGTGTGGGGGGCGGGGGCTGAACTGTGGTCTGCACTGAGGAGCTCTGGGGTTTTTATACCGCAGGCTGGAGTGAAGGGGCCACACGGAGGAGTAAAGTCCAGCAGAAGATGCCGTGCTGTCGTCTCTGCTTCCACATCACAACATCAGGACGACCCCCCGCCTCACCCCACCTCACCCCGCCTCACCCCGCCTCACCCCACAAACACTGTCAAACCTCTGATAAAACTCCCATCATCCCTCACCCTCCTGTCCTAAAACTGTTACATTGATGCTGAAACCTCCAGTTCACGAGGGAGAGACGGTGAAAATGTACAAAAAATAATAATAAATAACGTGAAGAGAAGAATTTGAATGTGGATTTTCAAAGGTTACGGATGCAGTACTGTGTACCCAGTACTTCAAACTGTGTAGTAAACCCCCAGGTACTTCATCAGCCATGATCACAGGCAGGTTTTGATTTCATTACTGACCGAGTAATAAAATAAAATAGATGAAGAAAAATATCGAGTATTTGAAAAAAAGAGTGTCTGAACATACAGTAGAAAATGAATGAGGGTTAATTATTATAATTAACTAATTATTATCATTAAAATTATTGTTTTTTAATTAGTGGGATTTGAAAACACCCTGAAAGCAACACAAAATAATTTATACAATAATGATTAAGGACAAAAAAAAAAATAGTTTATTAGTCAACTTTTAAAGATAATTCAAAAAATTAAAAAACTTATACAACAACAAACAACAAATGATGAAATACATTTTTTAGAAAACAATGTTTTTTTTAAAACTTTTTTTGTCTTGTGGTTGACCAGGTCGATGAAGTCAGTTAATGGTTAGCGTGACTTAAATGTGACCTGACTGTGAATCCACTGATTGAATTGAAATAATAAATACGTTTTCACTACAAACATTCTTTATTTATTGATATTTACTTGAGAAACAACGACGTCTGTTTTCAGACAGAGCTTTTTTATCAGAGCCAGGTGAAATGTGGGCTGGACTTTGACCCACATGTTCCACATGATTCTGATGCTAATCTTTTTAGTGAGGACGGTGCAGCAGCAGCAGCAGCAGCAGCAGCAGCAGCAGCAGCAGCCTCCACTGATAACACCGACGACCTCTGTCTCTGTTTTCATGTGACGCCAACAAAGGTTCATAAAAACAGAGGAGAAAATCAGAAAACATCGTCAAACGGGTTGAAAACGTCTCTCACTGAAGGAATGTGTCTGTGATTCAACAAAAATCACAGGTTTTTGTTTCTTTTTCACCAAAGTCTAAGTTTTCATTTAAGTGTTAGTAAAATTGTATTTGTTTTCGTCAACCTTAAAATATTTCCCCTTTGACCCAAAAATGGATTTTGTGATATGGGACACCAGACTTGTGTTTGTTTTTGTCTGGCCCACATCTGGCATCTACAATGTGGGTCACATCTTTCTGTTTTTTTAATGGACTCAAATATTCTGCTGTGTTTGGGGCGCACAAACAAAATATATCTAGTCCACATCTGAGAACCATTAATGGGGTCTTATTCTTCTGGCCCACTGTTATAATGTGGCTCACATTCTGGAACTAGATTTGGGCATCATGTGTCCTTTAGTAGATTGTGTCTAATTCTTGGACAACTTTGGACAAAGATGGGTCTGCCCTGTTTCTGGGTCTGATCTTTATCTGTTAGCAGCAGCCCATTGTTGGACATATAAGTGGGCCACACCCTCTGTTAGAAATGTGGGGCATTAAAAACAATTGGGCTTCAATCGTGGACACCTAATCGGACCAAAAAAACAACCCTAAGTTGTTTAACTTTGGTTAAGATGTCGCCCACATTCTGAATTATGGGCTACCACATATGGGTCACCAAAATTATTTTTCACAGTTTTGTCATGTTATGAACTTCTTCTGTGATATTTATGTTATGTTTGAATCTATACATTGGTCGATGTTACATTACATAAGTGTGGGCCAAACCATAATGCGGGTCACATTCCGATCCTTTGTTGGGAAATGTGGGTCACATTCTTCTTAAGGCCAAACTATATCAACTCATAACAGAGACCAACATGTTGACCAGATCTGTGGGCCAGACTGACTCAGATGTGGCCCACAGTCTGCACAGGTGGACTCAGGGACCGGTTTGAGCAGGTGGTCCAGTTGCATTGTGGGTAATGGTCAGTGTGTGATGTCACAGCATCAACCGTTTCTCCTCCGTCGTCCACGCGTGTCATCGTTGTTCAGTTTCAGTTTGAAGTTCGGTCGTAAAAACAAACCTGCCAAAACAACGACGTGGAGCGTCAGCGGGGACGGGTATCGTCCAGCGGGGCAGATACAGCAGGACTTTACCCTGGGACGTGGCTATAAAAAGCCTGGAGTCTCGGTGTGTGAGACACAGGTCTGCACCAAGGAGAGACTCCAGGATCGAGCAGCTGCTGAACGCTGAACCTTCAGGTTTGACTTTTCATACTTTGAACATTTGAAGTAAACGTTTGAATCCTGCAGTACAGAGCAGTTTGACTGATCGGTCCGTCCTTCAACAGAATCAAAAACCAATCATGAAGACCCTGCTGGTTCTGGCTCTTGCCCTCGTCTCTGGTGAGTAAATGTCCTCTTTAAAAGACACAGATTTAAAACAAAAATAAAAAAGTTTTAAAAATTAACTTTTTTTTTTTCCACTCTCAGTGTGCAATGCCAACATCCTGTGGCCCGAACCTGCCAAGACCAACCTGGAGGTGGTGAAAGATGCATTCTGGGACTACGTGGCCAAAGCCACCCTGACGGCCGAGGACTCACTGAAGCAGATCAGAGAGTCTGAGCTCGGACAGGAAGTCAAGTAAGAACAAAAGAAATACAAATACAAAAAAAAACAAAACAAAAAAAACAAACAGTCAAACAAAAACAGAAATGACACTTGACCAATGATTAGTAAATCTAAACGTTATAAGACAGAACCAGGTAAAAAAAATCAGAGTTTGATTAAAATACAGCAAATGTTGTTCAATAATAATAATACAATATATATATAACAATACATAAATATTATATGTGTATATCTGAACTTGTATATTCGATCCTGGCAGCACCAGAATCTCCCAGAGCGCCGACCTGGTGAACCAGTACGTAGAAACTCTGCGGACTCAGGTGGCTCCTCTGACCCAGGACTTCATGACTCAGCTGACCAAGGAGGCGGAGCAGCTGAAGGCCCGTCTGGAGACAGACATGGTGGCCGTGGGCGAGAACATGCAGCCCTACACCCAGGAGCTGGTGGCTAAGATCCAGAAGCAGGTGGAGGAGCTGAGGAAGGAGAGCGCCCCCTACGCCGAGGCCATGGACCCCGAGGCCCTGAAGGCCGTCCTGATCCAGAAGAGCCAGGAGCTGAAGGCTCAGCTGGACCAGAACGTGGCGGACCTCCAGGCTCAGATGGTTCCCTTCAGCGAGGAGATGAGGCAGAAGGTGGAGAAGAGCGTGGAGGACTTCCAGAACTCCATAATGCCGGTGGCCCAGAGCTTTGAGGCTCAGCTGACCCAGAAAACCCAGGAGGTCCAGGAGAACCTGACCCAACGTGGAGAGCAGCTGAAGGCCAAGCTGGACGCCAGCGCCCAGGACCTGCAGGCTCAGCTGGCCCTGCTGTGGGAGTCCTTCTCCAAGATCAGCCAGTAAAAGGACGACGGCGTCCTCCGGAACCTCAACTCCACAGATATTTATTAACATCAACAGCTGCTTTATTTTCTTAAAATAAATCTTCACGGTCACGTCTCACTTTCGCCTCTGTTTGTTTTGCACCGACTCCAAAGACAGAAAGTTTCATAAGAAATGGTATTTATTATTTTCAGAGGTAAATATTTACTGTAGTTGTACTGTATATACACAGGTCGCACGTACTGTTCCTAATGTACATAACGTTTAGACAACAGGATGATGGGTGCATTATGGAGAGAGCGCCACCTATGTTCCATTCAGACATTGACTCCCAGAAACAAATGATAAAGTAATGAGATTTCCCTCTGGTGCAGGCACAAAGGCATCAATAATAAAAAAAAAGTTAATTTTGGGTTATATAGAACACTAAAAAAATTAAATCCAGTGTTTTTAACCCCTCGGTGTCCCATTGATCCATGCAGGACTTGCTTGCTAACAGTAAAACAAACTAGCTAGTCGTCTAACTTCTCTTACGACGACAGAGTGACGAATTCTGGGTTCTGCAGAACTCTTGGTCCAAACGATATTCCTACATCAGGGTGAACTGTACTTGCCTGCTAGCATCAAAACAACAAACTCTTCTGCTCAGGTTTCTGCGTTAGCGATGCACAATAAGATTAGCAACGTGCGCAGGCACAAAGGCATTACAAGGGGTTTAAGTAACTGTACAGATGCAAACTGGAGTATTCGGTGTGATGAGGAAATTGTCTTCTTTTACTCAAGGGCAAATGGAGGACACAAGGTGGGCTATGCTAACAGCACCCTCTGCTGGATCAGGTAGGAACAGATGGTCCGGGGTGACTGAGCAGAGATGTGAGTGTGACATGTTTGTTTTTCAGACAGCTGACAAACTCATTTATAATCAAGTCCAACCAAGTTAATGATTCCATTCACTGCACATCGACACATTTTACAGTAAAAAAAAACTAAACCTCTCGAATGTACCAAAAACAAAAAAAAAACCTAAACCTCTAGAAGGTACCAAAAACAAAAAAACAAAACAAAAACAAAACAGTATTGGTTACATATTTCTGCAGGTTTGAACCCAGCATCGACAGTCAACATCTTCCTGATCATTCACATTATTTCTGCATCCCATAATTTAGTCATTACTTTAACATAACTAGTTATTTAGATTAGTATTAGACAGGACTCGGCTTCTCCGCTGCGGTTCAGTGAAGTTATAGAAAAATTCAGGTCATTTGTTTTTGGGGGTGTACAGCACATGACTTCTGCTCTGGTTTCTGTCCAATTACTGTCTCTTTTCTTCTTCTTCTTCTTCTTCTTCTACTAGGTCTGTGAGTCTGTTTGGAAGACGTCAAACGTTCAGTTTTAACCAATGGTGACGCTGAACCCGCACTGGAACTTGTTCTTGCGGTGGTTGAGGAAAGAACACAGCACCAACGACAGCGGCAGAGGCAGCAGCTTCTTCTCTAGATTCGCACCGACCACCCAGTTACTGTCTATAGAACCTGGAGGGAGGGAGGGAGAGGGGTCAGAGGCTGGGGGTCAGAGGTGAGGGGTGAGGGAGGGAGGAATCAGGAAAAAAAGATGCTGTAAAAACTGAAGGAAGACGAACTGTTGGGCTGCTGGATGATGACGGATAACAACAACAATGTGAATAAAACGCTGTCCACCACCTGCTGCTGTTAAACTTGAGTCTAAAAACCAAGTCATTGAGGGAAAAGTTCAAAGTCACTGAGTGAGTTTTATTCAAAGAGACTGAACTGGGTCGACCAGAAAAACTGTTTGTTGTTTTTTTTTACCAGGTTCAAACAGACGTTGTTTTCTGACCGGTGCAGTTTGTTTTGGCAGGTATGAAGTCTGTCAACACAAACTTTAGTCAAAACTCTTGGAAAATTGTGTTTGCAGAAACATGAGGAGAAAAAGAAAAAAACATCCCAAAACAAAACAAAGGGCAGAAATTCCTGCTACTAAACTAATGTGTAATCGATGAAGAAATTAGTTTAAATTCATTTAAACCCAAGGGCAATTATTAACAAATACACACACACACACACACACACACACACACAGTACCTTTAAACTGTAGATTGGCTTTGGGAACGTCTAACAGGTAACCAAAGGAGACGCTGGTGTCCTGCATACGAGCGCTGGCTTCGTACTCAACACCGACCTGGAGCTGTTGACGATCAGAGAATTAATTAAAAAAAAAACTGTAAAGAGACAGAGGGTCAGTGACTGAAGAGGGAGGAGCCTAACTGTTACCTGGTCGTTAGCTTTGTGGTAGTACGAGGCGTGAGCGCCGGCGGAGCCCATCGTCAACGTGGCGATGTAGTTACTGCCTGTGGAGGAGAAAGACGACACGGGTAAAAAAAAAAGTCAACATCTGTGGATGTAAACTCGACACCCACCCCTTCCCAGGTCGCACCTGTGTCCCAAAACAAAACAAAGGGCAGAAATTCCTGCTACTAAACTAATGTGTAATCGATGAAGAAATTAGTTTAAATTCATTTAAACCCAAGGGCAATTATTAACAAATACACACACACACAGTACCTTTAAACTGTAGATTGGCTTTGGGAACGTCTAACAGGTAACCAAAGGAGACGCTGGTGTCCTGCATACGAGCGCTGGCTTCGTACTCAACACCGACCTGGAGCTGTTGACGATCAGAGAATTAATTAAAAAAAAAACTGTAAAGAGACAGAGGGTCAGTGACTGAAGAGGGAGGAGCCTAACTGTTACCTGGTCGTTAGCTTTGTGGTAGTACGAGGCGTGAGCGCCAGCGGAGCCCATCGTCAACGTGGCGATGTAGTTACTGCCTGTGGAGGAGGAAAACGACACGGGTAAAAAAAAAAAAAAGTCAACATCTGTGGATGTAAACTCCACACTCACACCTTCCCAGGTCGCACCTGTGTATTTGCCGACTAGAGACATGACCGCTCCCTCCTCCCCCGGCCGTCGGTGGTAGACCAGCTCTCCGCCCAGAGCCAGGGAGGGCGTTATGGACTGGAGGTAGTGAGATACTATGATCCCTGACGAACAGGACCAGAAGATTCACAACGTCATCATCACAGAAAACTCTGTCGAAACATCTTGGATCATCAGTCCAACAGCGCCACACGCTGTCGACTTACCAGAGCCAACGAGGACGTCTGGGTTTCCAAATGTGACCGTTGCGGTGAAATCTTCGCCCCTGAACTCGGCGTCACCCTGCCAGTTCACAAACTTCTGCTGCTGCGTCTGTGGTCGTGACAGAGCGGACAGTCAGTGAACTCACTTCTCTGTTGAAGTCAGTTTCATTTTGGCAGGTTCGTTATACAAACGTGACATGACAGTCCATAAAACTTTAAAAAAATGTGATCATGTGACTTGATGAGGAAAATGATTAGCATCGCCGTCATGGCCCATGTGTTGAATCAAAACTTGTGGTTTATTAGTAAACTCTTAACCTAGACTAGGTTAACTAGGTGTATCCCATAAGACTGAGTAGATAGGGTAGACATGTTAAGGTTAATTGTTGGCGATAATAATGTCATCACCTGGAAGGCGAATTTGGATCGTATCCTGCTGCTGATCTGATGGATGATCTGAGCGTTCAGGCTGCCGCTGTTGTCCATGTCTCCAACCATAACTGGAAAAAACTGAACACCACAAACTTAAATCCAACAGACTGATAAATATAAAGATGTAAACTAAACCAATGACCCAGCCCACCTCTGCTGGACCCATCTGCTTGGACCCCACGTACGTGGTTCCAAACCTGTAGCTGGAGTCGTCCATGGTGCTCAGCATCAAGGTGTGATTCACCTGAGCAGAAACAAAAAAAAAGGTTAAATCAACTGAACACTGACGTGGCTGTGAGCGCTGCTCACACACTGACTGACCTGGAAGTGGTTGCTGAGGCCTTTGTTGACAGTTAACCTGACACCTTCCATCTGAATTGGAAAAACCTCTGCGTAAAAGAACCGACTGTTAGATACATTTAAAAACACTTTTGTTTTACAGAAGGAAAATGAAACATTTACCTTTGCATTTGCGGTGACACTCGTCAAACGCTCCAGGGTTGGGCAGATGGGTTCTTGCCTCCTGCTGCTGCCCAGGGTCCGCTCCTGTTGATGGTATGACTGGAGACACAGGGGGCATCCCGAAACCCGGTGGCACCGTCAAACCAGGTGCAGGAGCAGCACCGCTGGTGACGGGTGGAGGAGGGTTGGGAGAACTGGCAGCCAGGACACCGCCCATGCTGAAAAGCCAAGAAAGACGACACAAAGGCTCGATCACATGTGAAATATTACAAAAATACTTTCCCAATAGGTACAATAGACAATAGTTAAATCCTAAATAATCATGAGACCTCGATCAGATTAGTAGACAACCAACTGAGAACAGTCTAACACCAGAGAACAGAGAACCCATAAGTGCCAGTGCCGTAAACCGACCCTCTTGTGCGTAAAAGGGTATGGAACGTCCCCATAACCTTTCAGGTACAGCACGTTCATTCATTTAGTCTTTCGAATGGACAGAGCTTTGTAATAAAGACCAGCACGTGTCACTTAGACATGTACAGTACGGTCGTATGACGTCAAACATTAAAGCAAACACCCTTCGCTTCCTACTTCGTTTATAAGATGCACAGAATGTATAATGTTGAAAGGATGCTAGCATGTAAAACCTCATGCTAAGCTAGCTCGTTTAGCCTTTTCCCTCTTTGGTTTTTAACACACACACGTACAGCCCTGGCGCGGCTAACGCGCGTTCCATTTTGATTTGAAATAATACCGGAAAAAACGTTAACATAAATAAATATTTGGCAAAAGTAAAGCTTTTGTTAGCCCTAAGCTAATGCTGCTACTCACGTTGTAATTTTCAGAGGACGATGCTGCCGGAAGTTAAACTGTATTCCACCGTAGAAGAAGTCGAATGACACGTGATGACGGACGAGTTCCACCCATTTTCCGCTGTACAGGTTCCTCAAAAGTGATTGGCAGAGACGGAGCCGGCATGGGTCTTTGTACGTGACGTCACCGGTAAATATGCAGGATTTCATTTGTCCAGCTCAGTGATTGGTGGAGGAGAAGGAAGCTTGTCTTAACTTGTCACACAGGAGGAGAATTACCATCAAGGTCAAATAGATTTAGAAAGATTATTGGCTTGTCACAGTCGTTATTTCATTCGAAACCATTTCACAAAATTTAAATGTCGTGTTTTAAAAAATAAAACTAAACATTTCGGGCAACTATAAACCGGCGTTTTAGTCTGAAACTCATCAAAATGTAGTCCTACACCTGACCTAGAGGTGTCAGTCAAACCGTTTTAAATAGTATAAAAAATTGCCAGATGTAATGCAGTTTTTGATATTTTTCCAAGTGTAGTGAAGTAACATATTTATAAGACTCAACAAAAGTAACCTGGAAATGTTCCTCTGCATTTTAAATGACAAATAATAAAAATTTTAATGTCTTTTTCCAACTGTTAAAAGTGTATTCTCCAAAGGTTAAAGCTGTAAAAGAAATTCCACACTTGATTATTAACAGGTTTCCACTCTATGATGTAACACACCACAATTTGTAAAAATAAAAAGTGAAAAATAAAGAATCCTTAGACAGTGTAGATTCTGCTCAATTTATTCAATTCTTAGCTCCTGCATGTATTCCATTGTTACAACAGTAGGGGGCAGAGTACTTCACAATAGTACTTCATACTTTTTGTGACATTTCAGACAAACATTTTTGCGGTTACAACAAATTCCGAGTCTTCTGACAAATGACATCAGAGAACAGCTTAATTTCAGTACCAACATTTTTTTTCTTCCTAATTTTTCTTCGGCCCAATTGAAGAGTTGTTGGATCAAATCCGTGACCCTGCCCTGACCTCCTCCATCTAACCCTGTTGTACAGAAATACTGTCAAAATCCTGAGCTACTGTTCCAGAGCCAATTCAAAGTCACATCATCACTGTGAAGGCGACTGCTGTTGACTTTTTCCAAAATTGTTTTTTTTTTTTTTTTGCCAAATTTTTTGTAGTGCAGCAAATTTAGACGTCCAACACATTCAAATTAGTTGTGCAGGTGGTAATTGTTAATTAGGCCGTTAATGTGTTAACGAATTTTGCCAATAAAGAATGTGCAGAGGCTGAAGCAGAAAAGCCCAAACAGTGACTTTGTTCCTGAACCCCCCCCCCCTCCTGCCCCGACTCCCTCCCATTTCTTTTTTTTTTTCCAACCCCCCTCTCCCGCCCCCACCCCAGCCCCACTCCCATCACTACAGACCTGACAGGTCAGAGTGCACACACATACACACACACACAGAAAACAAAAATGAACTCATTCACAGATGATCCCATCAACGTCTCCACATCATGACTGCAGTGAGTGACCACAGCTTTGACCACACCACTGTTGACATGTTTGTTGTCACATAGCAATTTTTGGGGGGGGAGACAATTAGACAATTAGAACCAAACAGACAGCGGAACAAAAGCAGGGAAGTCCTGATGTTCAACCAATCAGAGGGCTTCACCTCAACAACCGCCAAAGTGTCATATAATGACCTCAACTTCTCCATCATTTGTCTGTGAGTATTTCGGTCAAGTCACCTGTCGGCTACACTGCATGTCCAAATAGATATTGGTTTTTGAAAAAGGATTTTTTTCTTACATTTGGGAATCTTTAGTGATTTCTGCTCCGTCAGCGCGGAGCCTCACCGTACATTGGATCAACTCTTTTCAACCAGGAAGTCAAACCATTATCGGATAAGGACTCGGTGTCGGACAGTAATCGGAAGAAAGATCATGATGGACCGTGATGGGAACATCCTTCAACCATTCACTAACACACACACACACACACAGCCAAGAGAAACATAAAAAGACCCTGACATTGTATTGTTAGGCTCACATGCAGCCAATGAACAGAATGGAATTCAAATTAAATGACAACAGACCCTCCCACCCCCCCCCCCCCACCCCAGACTGAAACTGCTGTTCTTATTGTCAGTTCATATTGAAGCTGCATGTGACCATAACCATCCATCCATCACAGACCGATGACAAGCACTCACACAACGGGCTCAGAACAGACACATTCCCACACACAAACACACACACTCTCTCTCTCTCACTTTTTTGGTTTTGCTTCAAGGTAAATCCTGAAAATCGCTCAAAAACCGGGGGAAACAAAAATAAAGCATCTCCTCCTCTTATGAAGCAAAGTATTTTTCTTTTCTTTTTTTCTCTCTCTCAGTTTGTTTTTCAGCTGTAAATGACAAGTGTAAACGATGAATCTATGATCATTTTCTGCCGACGCCAAAAAATGATTCACATCACCTCGTATAAAGATTAGGAGACGGAGGGGGCGGAGCTGCTGGAGGCCGACCGCGGCACTGTGATCGACTCTGAGACGACGACGGTCGAGAAGATCACAGCGCTAACGTCGCTCTCCAGAAATCTCCCTTCTATTAAACTGAACGCACGTCAGTCTAAACCTGAATCAAACAGGACACTGGGGGGGAAAGTTCAGGGAAAAAAAATTGAAATCAAAGCTGTCGTTGTTAAAGTACCAGGGGGGAAAGGTGGGAGTAAAAAAACAAAAAACAACAAAAAAAGTGGCTTCTGTAAATCGCAACAAACATATTTCATCCCTCCAGCATTCACGCAGTGCTTAAAGCCTCGCAGAGTCAAAAATACATTATTAGAAAGCAAAACTGTTTTCCAAAAAAAAAAAAAAATTTTTGAAAAAAGAAACCAAGGACTCTCTGTGAGGGGAGGACAAAACGCTTCACAGCTGCCTGTTCAAAGATGCTACAATTTTGCTTAAAAAAAAAAAAAAAAGCCATCGCTTTCAAAATAAAAAAACTCACATTGGGGCAAAATTACTCAAACATAATATCACTGCTTTCATTTTCACGTTTAAGTCCAATTAAAGGTAAACATGATTGATGAAACCAATGCTTTTTTTTTTTAAACACGGTTTCTTTTAACAAAGGAATCGCTGCGACAGCTGCTGAACAATGAGAGCTTGGCATCAAAACACTGGGCTGCAGGGATTTTTGTTTCTTTTTTTTTTTTCATTTTTTCTTTTTTTTTTTAACATTGGCAACACATTACATTCACCAACTTCTTCTACTTCTGTCATGATGACCGGGCTTCAGAGACGGTTTTTACCTCAGCTGATTTTCTTTCTTTTTTTTTTTAAACCAGAGACAAAGATGGAAATTAAGAAAGAAAATTAAAGGTGGGGGAAAGTTCAAACTGAAGTTTTGCACCAAACATTAAAAACATCTCTCAGCTTTAGAGCCAAATTATTTGTGAGCTGAGAAGAAAAAAAACCCATATCAGAGCTGCCTTCAAGCGTCCTAAACTCCCATGATTCCTCCAGCAACACTGGGTTTCAACAGTGTTCTTCAGCCAAAAGTGTTTAAAAACAAAAAAAACCCCTTAATCTTCTTAATGAACAGGTAAATGTGCCACGCTCTCCAGTAAAGTAACAGCAGATGGCAGCGTTTTCTTAACGGAGTCTGTCGTCTGCTTCCTCCATCCAGGTGAAAAGAAGAATTAAACAGTCACGCAGTATTTTAAATAAAGCTGCCTTTTTTTTTCCTATTGCAACGTTCACATTTAGAAAAATCAACGCTCACATTCAGTTAAGTCTCGGCCGTGATTTCACGTGTGGAGGTTTTTTTTTTTCTCGCTCCCCCCCACTTTGCATAATGTGATGTTAAAAAAAAAAAAAAAAATCAGTACTCAGGTCATCGTTGTTTTGTGCTCGAGCTCTGCTGCGTGACAGTGAAAAAGAAAAAAAAAAAAGAAGAGGAAATCGTAAAGAAGACGAGTGCAGACGTGAGTGGGTTTAAGGCACTTAAGTGACGAACAGCAGTGTTTGAGTGGAGAGAACGACGGCTGGTGTGAACGCAACGTTGTTAGCGTTAAAGGAAAAACAACAGGCTGATCCTGGTGCTGAGGAGAATGAACACGTTTTCACAAAAGAAAGGCGGTTGAACGCAGCTCTGACGCTCATCTGTGGACCTCAAAAAACAAAACAAAATCAAGAAACAAATATTCTAAAGCAGAAGTCTGGTGCAGAACAAAGTGGAACTTTCCCCTCACTTAAAGTGAACAAAAAAAAAAGAAAGAAAAAGAATAGGCAGTAGATGAAAATAAAGTCGACTGTTACATCCTGAGGTCAGGCTGTGAAAAGGAGAAGGAAACGTGGAACTGAAGAGTTGCCTCAGGTTTGTGTGCTGGCACAGATGTTCGTGCAAAAGCCCGGTGTCTTCATCCTGTCCTGAAGGAAGAGGCAGAACTCAGGATCAGACATAAACTAATAACCATACATTCAAATACCTGTCAATAAAAAAAAAGGATTGTCATGGTTACAATCAGTAGATTGTCATGGCTACAGTAGCACAATAATGCAATAAATCATATCGTTGTCTTCTGTACAGGACACAGATGGTATTCCCAGATACACACAGCCGTACTCAGTAATGGGTTTTCACTACTACCAGCTGTGCACCGGTCAGAGAAAGTACTCGTACTCTTAAGAGTTTGTAAAAATAGAAATAACTGAATATATACATCTATAAAAAAAAAATATATATATAAAATCTTACAAATATTTAGGAGCTGTAAAATAAAATCTTACAAATATTTAGGAGCTGTCCTGTTGGAGTCCTGCCTTCTCCTCCACCTCCTCCACCTCGCAGTCACCGCTGGAGGTGTGGAACTCGGCCACGTACAGGCTCTTGTCAATGCTGCCGGGAATGGGCTTGATGTCGGTCACCAGCTGGTCTTCGATGGCCTTCAGGTTGAATCGATCTTCTGACGTGATCAGATTGATGGCCAGGCCCAGGTGACCAAACCTCCCTGAGGGTGAGATAAGGGTGAGGTACAAAGGGTGAGAACCGCTGGGGTAAGACGTTGATTTGATTTTCTTGTTAAATTCTGTGGATTGTCCAGGACAAACCTGATCTTCCAATACGATGGAGGTAAGTCTCTGCGTTCTTGGGGAAGTCGAAGTTGATGACAACGTTGACGGCCTGGATGTCTATGCCTCTGGTGAACAGATCTACAGGAAGGAACAGAGGTTTGTCAGTTTGTCAGCATCGACGGTTCACCTCTAGGTGGTGCTGCACAGAAGTGGGACTCACCTGTGCACACCAGGTTTCTGCACAGTCCATTTCTGAAGTCGTGGAACACACGGTTCCTGTATTCCTGCAAAACAGAGCGAGAGTTTGAACCAGGGAACTCAGGATGTGGAGTGACACCAACAGGGGGCGACAAATAAGACAAAACATTTGAAGTCAGATTAAACTGGGAGACACTCAATACAAAGAACTGAAGAAATCAGTTCCTGAGCAAATGTTTAAACAAGGTACTGATGCTGGGGAAAAATAAAAAAAATTCTTACACGTAGATACACAGATAAAACGATTTAAAACTCACTTAACACGTTAGATACAAATATTTGCCAATAAATGTAAAAAATGAAGTGTAAAACAAGTTATGTCTCACCTGCATCATCTTAGCGTGGATGTAGAAGCAGGAGTAACCCAGCTGAGTGATCTTCTTGGCCAACAGCTCCACCCGCTGTGTGGAGTTACAGAAGATGATGGACTGGTTGATCTGAAGCTGTGGGTGGAAGAAAAAAAATAAAAATAAAGAAGTTAAAGACCTCACATCCACCGTTTGGTCGATTCCAAAAACAAAAACTTTTTGGACGAAGCTTTTACGATGCGTTACCCTGGAGAAGAGTGTGTTGAGGCAGTGAACTTTTTGCCTCTCGGTGACGTAGGCGTAGTACTGAGTGATGCCCTTCAGCGTCAGCTCCTCCATCAGGTTGATCTCGTAGGGTTTCTGCAGGTGTTTGCTCTAAAACACAGAGTTGGCAGCTTTAGAACATGAACAGAACCTTCATCGTTCGTTTTTTTCTCTTTCTTTCTTTTTGTTACAAACCAGAGCCAGCAACAAAACATTTTCACTACACACTGGAGAAAAAAAAAGAAAGAAAATAACTAAACTAAAAAGGCAAAAGCATTTCCTCACACTTGAATCCTGTGCTGAGCGGATAAAACCACACAGGACATGTTTGCTACAGACCAACACAGATCTGGGAACAGTGTTAGAACAGCTCAGCCTGCGGACACTGCAGTGCCAGGTGGCAGAGTGCCACCAGGATTAGGTTTGGGGACGGGAGGGGGGCTGAGATGCACAGGCCTCCGGCCAACCACTCACCATGAACTTTTGCACACTGATGGGGAAGGTTGCAGAGTAGAGCAGAATTTGTCTGTTCTTGGCCAGAAAGCTGATGATGTCCTCGATGAGCACCACAAAGTCCTGAGACAGCAGCTTATCCGCCTGCGGAGGCAGAACACCACACGGTCAGAAAGAAGTTCTGCGAGTCTCCTAGACAAATAAAGGGAAACAAAGCGGCTCGTGTTTACCTCATCCATCACCATCATCTGGACTCGATCCACTTTTGCCACTCCCTTCTTAATCAAATCCAGGATCCTGCCAGGGGTGGCAATGACCACGTGCACTAAAAAACACAAGGGACAGACGGGGATTTTATAGAAGCGTTGAATCTCACATCACTGCAAGATGAGCTGGAAATTATGTCCAGTTTAAAAAAAGTAATTCTCAAAGTCACATGAAATTCTAGAAGATAAAAAATGTCTGAGGTCAAAAGAAATCTGTGATGTCCACCGAGTTAGACATGATGACGTGTCACCACACGGTTCTCACCAGTCTCATCCAGGCGCATGATGTCATCTCGAAGATTAGTGCCCCCGGTGGTTGCCATGACTTTAACTCCTCCCAGGTGTTTGCTGATCTGGATACAGATTTGACTCACTTGCAGCGCCAGCTCACGAGTGGGCACCATGACAAGAGCTGGGGAATTACAAACAGATTTTATTTATTTTTAGATTTGTCAGAATTCAGGTGACATATTCTTGACACTTTTCTTCTTATTCTATGACCTACTATGACTATAACTGTACTTTTTCTTTGAATAAAAGCACCTGCTAAATGTAATATAATGTTCATAGCATTAATTAATTATTTAAATTACCACTTCAAACACAGGTTCTAGGTTTTAGGCACTTTAGTCTCACCCTGTATGTAGTCCTTTTTCAGGTCTATCCTCTCCAGCAGTGGGATGAGATAAGCTCCACTTTTTCCGGTTCCATTTTTAGCACGGGCCAGAATATCCCGTCCGGACAGGGCGATGGGAATGCTCTCCTCCTAGAAAAAACCAAGACCCTTCTCTTTAGGATCATTTCATGTCATTAAACTTTGTTTTCTTAAAGTCTGGACAAGTAAAGAACATACCTGGATGGGTGATGGTTTCTCCCAGCCCATTTCAAAGATGCCCATGAGGAGTTCTCGTTTGAGGCAGTAATCCTCAAATTCATTCCCTTTAGTTGATGTGACATCCTAGGGTAACACAGAGTGGTCAGGACGACTGTAAATCTGCATTTGTCAGCCAGCAACGTGATTAAACAACCAATCAATACAACAATAGACTCACTGAGGTTTTGACCCTGTTGTCTTTGGGAGGAAGCTTGAGGCTCTTTTTCCAATCGTCTCCAAACTTGATGCCTCCCCCGTCTTGAGGGGCGCCGCCCACTTTTGCTGGAACACCCATAGCTTTAGCTTGAGTCATCGGTGCTGGCTGAACTGAAGCTGGTTTGGTCTGTCCTCTGAGTTGGCCATTTTGCTTGTTCAGTCCCATGACCATTGTGCCAACATTTTCTGTTCTGGCAGTTGCCATATTTTCTCAGCTGGGTGTTTTGTTTTGTTTAATTCTTCTAAAGTTATTAGATTTTTGACTCTTAGGTTTCTTCTTAAAAAATTCTCTTCAAAAGTAAAAAAGTTTAATAAAGCATTAACAAAACAATATTCTCTATTTCTGGTTTAAGTCCAAATCTTTGACAGCAGAAGTTGCTCAATGGTATTTACATATACACAAGTACGTGCAGTTCGGTCCCCCTTAAACAACAGAGTGACTGACGTACGACAAAAGTCCGAAAAAAAGTTTACACAAGAGCTCTTCAAAACGAAGAGAATTTTGCATTAATATGCATGAATATACTTGTTCACGATATAGAAAAATTATATGTGAACAAGTGTCAAAGTGATTCAAGTCCTGAAACAGAACAACTAAGGCAATCTGAACTTGGGGAATAGTTTCTTCAGTATAATCTGAGTTCAATACTTAAACTTCGGTTTGCGAATCAGACAGTACTTCCTGTTTTCAATTTGAGTCCATCAGAATTGCTCAATGTTCCCTGTCGTTGAAAAATGGTTGTCCAACTTTGTACAAGTCTTTCCCCAAAAATCATACAGTTTCTAATGCTCTTGGTTTATTCCCACTGTGAGTGTATGTTGCTCAGCGTGTGGAAAAAGAAGTTCCTGAAAGTATAAGTCACACAGAGGTTTTCTAGTCCAAAGCCAAACAGCTTTCCACCTCTGCTGAGTCCTCGCTCCGAGATTCCTTCCTGATCCAGGTGTTTGACCTTCTCTCCCTGGTTACTCCAAACCTACAGGTCGGATTACGACGTGCCAGCGTGGCCGTGATCAACCCACCGCGTCCTCAAAGCCCACCAATGACTCAAACTTTTACCTGGAATAAATTGGATATAAAAATTCTAAAATGACCATGATTTAACAAATAAGGAAAAGAATTCACAGCAGCCAACTTAAAGTTAATAGTTGAAAAAGCAGAAGACAGCCACAGGAAGCTTTTTTTTTACTAAGAATATTTTGTAGACGATGCACCTGCAATTTCCTGTTTGTTTCATATCTGCCAAATTCAATAAGTTTAACTAATTCACTGCCAAATTGGTTGATTAACTACTTTGACTTTTGCTGCAATGCGTTTCTGGCAGTATCTTCTCTTTTCCTTGACTAATTTGTATTTGGTTTGTGGATTCAAGTAATTATCAGAGGTAAATTTATATGGGGCACAACTAAAGAGTGGATCGATTGATTTAAGTAAAAAAAAAGCAGATTAAACAACAACCTACTGTGGTTTTGTGTTGCAAACGTTTGAAACTCTGCAACCACCTGTTCTATTTAGCAAATCGGCAACCAATGGAGTCAACTGTTTTCTACTGATCGTTAGCGGTCACTTGAAATATGTGCCGCCGCGTTTGAGCACAATGTTGGAAAATTTAAACTAAGGACAAATACCGTTCTCCTGTGCTGCTAACAGTCGTGTGCTTTGTGGAATTAAACGGTAAAGGTATATTCGCTAAAGATAACTGCGTGCTAACGTACTTGTGTAGAACATGTCAGGAGCAAAACGTTCTCGAGTGACTGATTAATAAATATAACTGTCTCCGGCAGACTTCAAGCCAAACTTTAGACAAATAACGACAGGACATTTTTCCCAAAACAAGTGCGCTTCTTTGACTTTGTCATTTTCACAAATGTAAACTTGGTCCTGTTTCTGTTTTTCCACAAGTCGTATACAAAATATAAAAATAATGTCATATAAGCGTGTAGGTGCTATATTTATTAATTAATTTGAAACTTAACTAAACGAAGAAATGCGAGGTTAGCTTCTCCAGGCTAACGTTAAAAGTCATTAGCTTTAGCTTTAAGCCATCTAGCGGCTTCACTGATTTATATCACAAGTTCACATTTTAAAAAGGTTGGGGTTGGTAATGAAACCACCAAAAATAGAGCGTTCACCCTTAACCCTAAATATCGGCTTTAAAAATAATTTGTAAAATAATCACTAACACGATGCTGTGTAGCACTGTTAGCAGGACCGCTAGCCTCGAGGCTAATTTAGCACAAACGTCAGCGAACTTGATTTTTCTTTTGCTTGATACCGGAAGTTTCAGAGTCACTGTAAACATACCTTAGGTTGTGTGGTGCTTAGCAAGCGGTAACCACTGCGCGGGAAACTGGATGCTTTCTGTGTGGGTCGAGTTAAATGTGGAATTTAACATAAGACAAAATCGCTACTATTGTGTTTCTTTTTTTTCTTTCAATCAACATGGTCGCCTTCTTCCTTTTCTTCTCCGTTCTCTCTTCGTCGGCTCTGTATCTCAGGTTTATCACAATGACGCGGCAACTCGCTACTGCCCCCTGCCGTCACATTTGGTAGCAATATTAAATTAAATTGACAGATTCTGCGACTAAGAATGCATACGTGAATAAGTTATGTATATTCATTATAGAAAATCCTACAACGAGGTAATAAGCTTGCACAACACAACAATAATTTGTTTTTGTTTTAATTAAGACTTTAAATAAACGGTCATGTATTAACAATGGGAAATTAAATTACATTAATTTACTAGAAAACAAGCCACATCCACATATCATATGTTTATACAACATAAAGGCCTCAGTGTAAATGTACTGTAAATGTGTAATAAACAAAAATGTCCTAAAGCAACTCTTTAGGTAAGCAAATGATGCAATAATAACCAGATTACATGATAAAATGTGTTTTCTCTCAGAGTGATTATTTAAAAATAAACATACAGAAAAATTAAGAACTTTGTTTAACACATGGGTTGTTTTAGGTTTCACTTGTGCATGTTGTGCAACTACATTGTCAGTATTAGAATACTTTAGTAGAACATTGTATTTAGTGTTGTAGAAGAGAGGTATATGAGAATCTCTGCTGTTTTTAAGACAACAAGGTAAAAGTGAATTGTCAGTGAGAACATCCAGTCTAAAAATAACAGAGTTTTTCCTCTGTGTGAAACTCCAGCCTGAGTGTCTTAGTTCATACAAAATATAATTGCAAGTACAGTGCAACATGAGTCAGTTGCCAATGTTGTCACTGAAAAAAAGGACAAACCTAGTGCTGACCTAGGACTTAGCTAGTTTATAAAAACTAAGCTAAGACACACTTTAGTGTCTCGTGTGAAACTGCTTCAAGTTGCAGAGCACTTGTAATGATATTATAAGCCAGTTAAGAAACAAAAGGCTTTTTAACATGTGGTCTGCATTGGCAAATAGTGGACTACTGTGCTCAAAGAACAATATGACGTGTTCAAAGTTAGTAATTCTCTTCGACTTTGTTGCCGACAGAGGATGTGGTACAGTACGCGTTCAGCTGCAGTGCTTCCATGAGCTCTGTCATGGTGTACAGTGTTTGGTTCACCTTCATAAATCACCCTGACTTATTACATCCCTCTCGCTCTACCATATCGGTAGATTCAAATACAAGTCACTTTGATATTTGCTCATCTTCCAAGAGCAGACTTGGGTTTCCCCTGCTCAAAAATCTCTCTTATTCGTGCCACGCATATTTCGGCAGCTTCCTCGGTTTCTTTGGTGAGCGGCGACAGATTGAGGAAGCCATGAGGAAGGTCCTCGACCACCGTCAGACTCACAGGCTGACCCATGTCTCGCAGTTTCTTGGCAAAGGTCACAGAGTCGTCCAGCAAGGCGTCCAGAGCGGAGGCCTGTGGAAACAGAGGGAGAAACCAGGGAATACTGTGAACACTGAGAAAGGACATGCGTAAAGATGTTTCTGTGTTTTTTTTCGAGAACTTTTAGATTAAGTTTTTCTTTCTTTGATTTTTTTTACTGTTATGTTGATAATATCTTATTCTGTTGCATTATGTTTTTTATTTGTTATCCAATAAAAATAGTTTTGAAAAAAACTCAAGAACTCTAAGTTGCTGTTCCGTTGTTATTTACTGTTTTTTAATCTTTTACAAAAAGCAAAGAAATTAACAGAAAAAAAATTAAAATCCAAAATCATCCACTTTCAGCTTCTTTCAAAATAAAAGCCTTCAGAGAATTCCTTTGTGTTTCTGACTCACCACGATGTAGACGGGGGGCAGTCCTCTCAGCAGGTTGTTTGACGCCAACACAGGTGACACAAATGGGTTCCTAATGATGGGGGAAGAGGTCGGGCGAACAAAAGCCAAACACTCTGAGCGCAGGGGCTCAAAGCCTTGTGGGTAATCCACGTAACACGGAGAGTGCGCTGCGGAGGTGTGAGTTAGTGTCCGTCTGGCTTTACTGCTGTGGGTGGGGGGACTCCTCTGCTGTGAGGAGTGGGAGCGAGCTGCGCCCGTGTTCAACACCGGCTCCAGAAGGGACTGGATCCAGTTGGACGCTCCCTGGGTGAGGTCGCTGAGCAGCACCGCCGTGTCTCTGCTCAGAGCGCTCACGCTGTTGCTGGTCACTGCAGGCTGCAGTGTCTGTGACTCCGCCCCTGGAAGTGACATCAAGGCAGAGGTCAGGAGGAACAACAACACGACCATAGAACAAATAAGGCAAAATAAAGCGAGAGTTCCTGATCGTCAATAATTCCCACAGTCCATCAGTTGTTGGAACAGATCAGTTCTGCGGTAGGATGTGGGAAGTGGGGCACACACACACACACACACACACACACACCTGCGTAGGCGTTGAGGCACTTTGCAAGAACACCCAGAGGCAAGAGTGGGTCGATGAGCGTCAGCAGGCGTGAGGGCGAGGCGTCAGTGGTGAGCAGGGTTGCGGGGTAGGCGGCCATGATGCCGTCGGGCACCCGGATTCCGTGGGACATGGCTTTCATGGAGACGGTGATGCAGAGGTTTCCTCCTGCGCTGTCTCCCGCCAGACACACATACTCTGCTGTGGAGCCTGGAAGATAAAACCAAACAGGTTTCAGTGCTAAACTCATCGGCGTTCTCTGCTGGAGTCAGTTTCATTTTTCATACCGATGCCCAACATTTTCCTTTGCACTATTTCCAAAAAAACCAACATCTGGGGAACATATATATATGTCTTTGTATGTATGTGTGTGTTTCCTGATAAGTTTAATTATTCATTAATACCTCAAAACAGCCACACTGACAATTTGGAGGCAGTGATGCCTTCATGGTCCTAGATAAAAAGGTGAACTCGCTTGTAATAATATCTGAAGTGTAAATGGGCGTCAGCGCCATCATTCACCCAGCAGGTGGCAGTTGTTGAGAGCCCAGCAGTAAGCATAAAAACACTCCTCCAGAGCTCTGGGATACGGTGCCTCGGGTGACAGAGAGTAATCAACGGAGAGAACCGGAACGTTCAGCTCCTTGGACCAGTTACGAAGATAAGTCTGAGAAACAAACAAACAAAATCAAAGCAAATCAGTACGTTCTCATACATGTGGTTTACTGTAACAACACCTTCCTGTTACTGTACCTCATGGGATTTAGATGTCTGGGCTACAAAACCCCCACCGTGGAAGTGGATAATCAGCCGTGGGGAGGGCGGTTGCTTCTGTACCCAGGGGAGGTGAGCTGCGGTGATGGGAGGCGGCTCTGACCGGGAGAGGGACATCAGTTCTTGACTATCCTGCAGAGTCAGGGGTCAAACAGGATGAGACCGGTACATTTAATTCAGAACATCTGCTCACAGAACTGAAGGCTGCTCACCTGCCCTTCACGAAGCACGTAAGAGATCAGACGCATGTGCACAGGCCCGGGGCCCCAGTGGGCTAGCGGTGGTGATACAGTGACCGTTAAAGTGTTGTCTGAAGCCAGAGGAAGGCGTAGAAAGACGGGAGGCACCGTCATGGTGAAGTTCAGCTGCACTGCATTAGAAGTGATTCGGTTAAATCCCTGGACAGAGAGAGAGGGAGAGAGAGAGAGAAGCAGGAGGGTTTACGGAGGAGGAGGTCGAGGAGACCTCTCAGTAACAGTGCAGTGAACACAGGTGTATTTGACCGTGCCTACTGTTATAAGGCCGGACTCTGTCAGGTTCCAGAAGGACTTCCAGAACTGTAAATCCAGGTTCTGGGTGATACGTTCAAACTCAATTCCTCTCAACTCTGGATCAATGACGTACTTTCCTGAAGTGAGGAGAGAAAGGGCTGCAGTGCCTGAAAACAGAAACATTTTTAAACTTAAAAAAAAACCATAAACTCATTCCTGGACATGAAGAGGAGGAAATAGACACCTGCTCACCCAGACCAGACTGTTGTTTACCGTACGACTCTCCGTATGAAATCATGCTGATGACGACACTTTGCAGAAATGGACGAAGAGAAGGAGAGAACTGTGAAAGGAATGACAAATCATGTATGACAATCAAGAAAATACCCATCATGCACCTGAGTCACAGCACCACGTTGACTGACCTGGAATCCCAGACAGCGTCCGAAAAAACAGGCCTTGTGCATGGAGCTGTACTCCTGCACAAACCTGCGGCTCAGGTCCCCGTTCTGCTGGGAGAACAGCTGACCGTGCTCGTTGTCGTTGAGGAGCCGCTGGGCGAGGTAGATCAGGGCGCGCAGCTGACAGAGGGCGTTGCAGTACGCCTCAATCTCGGTGGTGTTGTGGTCAGCCCTGAAGAAGGCACCGTTGTAGTTGGCGGCGATGTAACGGCCCTTTTGAATGATGTGCAGAAGGCACGCCTGCAGGACCTGCAAACATGAACACATTTCTGAGTCGTGATGTTCCCAGAATGCATTTCTCTAGAAGTGTTCCGCACATCCACAGGCTTTCAGAGTATTCAGGTGTGCCGCTGAGTAAGAAGTGGATTCTTGCTGTTGAGCAGGAAAAGGTCATTTTATAAACACGATTACTCAACTAAGGGCAACTAATCAGAGACTGTGTTGTCAAGTACAGCTCAAATGATTCTGTTCTTTTTTGTGTGAAAGCTAAAATTTAAAATATAGACAAATTATGATTCCTATTTTATTGAATTTTATTTATTTTTTTACTCCTAGCTTAGATAATCAAGGATGTTTTTAGTTAGACTTTTTGGACAATTTATGGCCTTTTTCTGACATTTTAAGGACCAAATGACTTGAGGACTGATCAATAATTTTCCAAACAAGTTCTTTTAGAATTCATTAATATCATATGGACACAGACAGCTGTCTCTTAAAGCAAAATCCGAGCCTATGGAAAAGTTTTTTACTTGTATAGAAAACAAACATACGGCTCGTGTTTTATTCCTGCTAATAAACCCTTAAATACAATAAACATATGAGCAAAGAGTTAAGAAGAGTTCAAAAACATCCATCCATACCTTGACCAGGGTTCGATATCCATTCCCTGGCGTCTGTGGGTCAAAGTCGTAGTGGTGGTAAACGACAACCAGGCTGCCGACCACAGGCTCCAGAGCTCGGCCGTGTTCCTGGATCCGTCTCCAACACGTCACCAGGCGCTGAGCAACGGTGCCGTACGGCAAATCCGACGTCCCGCAAAAAGCTGCGATGTTTTCCTCGCACACGTTGTCCAGGGCTTCGAACACTTGCTGGTAATCCATATCCGAGACTGCGAGGAAAAAAAGAAGACGACAACTGTTTAAAAAAAGCAAACAGTTGACTTTTTTTTTTTTCTCAGGCTGCGTTTTATCTGCATTTATCTGCGTAGCTACTGACACAGCAGACATGTGATGTCGGGTGTGGAGACAACAAACAGCCTGAAGGTAAACACACCATATATACTGCAACAGGACGAACCATTGAGTGATTTGTTATCACTTGGTCAGAGGTGGAAGTTCCCTGATTGGCCTGATGATGACAGAAGTCATGTACTCTGTGGACATTAACTCTGAGGACGTTTGACATAAATTTAATCCAATTGTGGGAACAGACGACGTGATAAACAACAACAAAATTGACATTTAATAAAATCACAGACTGAAAGGTGAAACCAGGAGATTCAATGGAAGACTTGAATCACAACCAAAACACATTGATTACCAGATTGATTTAAAATGATTTTTTTCTTTTCTCTGACTGCGGAACAAACAAATAAACAAAAAAGCACAAAAAACAAGGCAGTTTCTAAAGAATATGACATAATGTGTTCAGTCCTGAGGAGAAGAGTTTGACCTTTGCACTCCTGGTGATTTTTTTTTATTGTTTATTTTTTTTGACAAATAGAAATGCTGTGTTGAGAACTACAAACACGTTATAAAAACATCTATTGTCTCTTGAGGGAGGAGGGGTCTTATTTCTAGTCCTAAGTTTAAATACTGACAGCTGACACCAGTGCATTATGGGTATCAGGATATGTAATGAAGGATGATCTCTACAGTGTCCTCAGCAGCTGTAGCCTGCAGTGGAAAGTAAAACCAGGACACTGAGCTAGTGTGTGCCAATGCTACAGACACTGTCGGCTTTATTCCACTTCTGACACACACTTGATTGTTTGTTTTTTTTTTTTTCCCACTTTGTGTTTTTAATGGGCCGGTATTTTGGTTCTGCTGATAAACAGCAATAGGTCAGTTTAGTCACTCTTTTGATTTAAAACACAACTAATTTAACCTAGCTTTGATTATATGAGTATGAATTAAGCCCAAGACCAGGAAGAAAAATATATAAAAAATATAATAAAAATGCCACAGCCTCATTTTAAACCTTCCTGGTAAAAACTGACCTTACTTCACACTTTTCACAAAGAAAGACGATACAGTCGATGCAGAATTTAGTTTTAGGACATGAATTTGTTGGTTAATGTTGCATCGCATTTGTAATCATATCTTAAACACGTGTGGAGAGCAGCATGTAGTCACAGCAGGGCAGCATGTGCAGTAATGGGTGACCTTTAGAAAAGGTATTATTGGTAAAAAAAAATACAACAATTCTCTTTTAGTGTTTGAACATAAGTGTTTGATTTTTTTTTTTTTTGCTAGGCACATTAATTAGTTATTGGTATTTATAATGTGACTTTAATTTCCACTCTCTCCTTTTATCTTTTATTTTCTATGCAGGCGATGGTGTATGACTTTAAAAAAATAAATAAAAGTAGGGTTAGTGTTAGCATTTGATTGTCATTTAGCATCTATTTTTTCAATTGTATTATTTTGAAATTAATAATCAATATTTTTTGTAGTTGGTCTATTTGTCACGATTTACCAAAATAAAAGTCTTTGACAGAAACGTAATTTGAGCCCGTGTCACTGTCACTATCACTTTACAGTATTCTTTACAGTATCAGCTCAGTCGGCGTTCATTCCTCTATACGGCGTAATAAATCCTCATTAAATCCTTCTTAAATCCCCATATCCGAATGCTAAGCTAACCCGAGCTACCTACCTCCATATACGCTAACAACTTTGGCTTTGAAATAAAGTTTAAGGAGTTTACTGTCAACACACCCTGTTGCTTCCGGTTTATTTACACGTCAAACACAGTGACGTGGTTTCATATTCGTCACGACTCGTCTGAGCGGCGTTGATAACTATAATAATACCCTCGTCCGTCATCGTTTTATTTGTAAATGTGGAATGTATGACTTTATTTAAAATACACTTACTTTCTGCCTCTGCCACCCGCATCTTCTACCTCTGTCATGTGTGGCTGTCCGCGTACCCACGCACTACCTACGTCACGTGACCAGTGCACGAGCCCGTGTGCGCGCTCCCGGCAACAAGTGGCTAAAAGTATACTACGTTAGCTTATTAGCTTAAACGGAAAAAAACAATCTTACAAATGTAATATTCTCTCTTTAACAGGATACATGAAGTATCTGTTGATGTTTCCGAATACTGGGATTCTTATATGTGTGTTTTAGCTTTCCACTTCTGGAGAGTGAGTGAAAATTAATAATAAGTAAAGTAAATAAAACAGAGAGTGTTGACACTTATGGCACCAAAATGGCTACACTGCCCCTTCCATCTACTCCACTCGTCCATGTATCCATATAAACACATGTACATATTTAAATCCCATATGCTTTGTAAGCTGAATCTGTGAAGTTATTTTATAAAGTGCCAACTTCAGTTGTTACGTCAGTGAAGTAATATCAATAGAGTTCACTCAGTAAAGGTCAACAAAGTCGACTCATGTTGAATCAACATTTCTGTGTTACTTCCTTGAGCTCCCAAACCCCAACACATCTTTCCCGCAGCATGCTGGTCATTTAACATCCGTTCTTCTGTAACTCGATACCATAAACACAAACTATCTTTTCCTCAACAGTTACATTCGGCAGCAAGGAAAAATACTGCCGCGTCCTTAAAACAAAGGCTCTTTTTAAGTGCTGTGGTGTTAGTATCACCTCAGTCAAACATGATAGAATATCAGTTACTGTGATGTGAATATGTAAATATACATATATATGCATACATATATATTTGAGAATCTTGATTTCAATGTCAACTTTAAAAGAAAAGACAACTGAAAAGTCACAATTGTGAAAACCCTAAATTGTCAAAATCAATATAAACTACAGGTTTCATGACATGACTTGGTTTTTGACCTTTTTCCCCAGACTTCTTATACTGTTATGTCAAAATTGTGATTTTCTCTACATAAGCTAGGATTTGGACTATTCTTTCAGCAGACAGAAAAAAAATCTTACTTTAATTTCAGGATTTTTAGAAAACAATACAGAATCTCTGCTTAACTTAGCTTTAGAACAGAGAAAGAGGAAGAAGAAGAAGAAGAAAAATACATAAAAACAGAAAGGCTTCTCAGATCAATTAGACTATTGTTCTAAGTACTAAGTATAAATATAAAAAAATATATAAATATGACAAAATGGGGAAAATTTGAATGAGGAAAGAAAAGAAAAAAAGATGGGTGTTGTGTTCCTTGTAACTGATACCTTTTCACTGTGACCTAAAGATGTTGTGTTCCTTGTAACTGATACCTTAGAGTTAGTATTTTTACTAAGTCACATTTTAAAAAAATGTGATATAATAAAAGGAAAAAAACTGAATTATCTTTTTACAGTCCTCATGTGACTCTCTTCTTCATTCAATTATTTCCTTGTATTTTCAAACAAAGGAATTATCAATTTTTTCCCCTTTCTTTCAGAGAAATTTGAGATGGTAAAAAATACTGAAAAAAAATTATGATGTTTTAGAAAGAAGAGTTTGTTAAAAATGTTTTATCGTCAACAAGAATAAAAGCTGAAGTATCAGTTTAAATGTTGAAACTAAACTGTTTGTGAACCCTGGAGAAAACCAGGAACCAACAAGTGCGTGGAGAAAGAACTGTGTGTCCAAACTAGGGTTCATTTACCTGTTCCTGTCACATAAACACCTGTGTATGGAGGCAATGAAGGCTCAACACGGTTTTGTTGTGCTGCGTGCCTGGATGTTTAGAGAGGTGGGGGTGAGGTGGGATGGAGGGGGGACAAATGGGTCAAACTGTCTTTGTGTCCCCGAGATACAGGTAATTTATTTGACCATCCTGGTCATTTATACTTGACTTTATCCATTTTCTATCTGTGACACTGCGGTATCATCCATTTTAATGTTTTCCTTGAGTGTCTCGAGGGCAGTTCAGACACTGACCGACTAAAGGAGCTCATCTTTCATACCAGGATATGGAATGCTTAGCACTGCATGAATTTCTCGGGAAAGAATAAAAAAAACAAACAACAAAACTGTCTTCAGTTTTTGCCTGACGTTCCGACTGTGCGACCAGGAGTGGGTGAACAGGACAATCTCTACAGCTGAAATTCACTGTGTTAGTCAATGGCCACTGTGCTGTGCTGTACATATCTGGACGTAGTGACATACACTCCTGGTGAAGCTGATAGGTCAGGAATGACGGAAGAAAAACAGTGGAACAAATGTATGGTCATTTACTGTGAAGTGATTGAGTAACCACCCAAACTCCATACGTTTCACAAGCGTCTTCTGAGCTTCGACTCCCCTTTTCTGCCTTACATTTTCTCCTGACGCAAAGCATGAATGTCTGAGTGCTAAAGATTGGCCGAAAATAGCTAAAAGTTAGCACTTGAATACGTAAATGTTGGCAAAAATTCCCATCACACAAAGTGAACAGTGGGCAGTGTGTGGGGACGGTGCCAGGCTCAGAGCACCTCAGTGGTAACAGCTGGGGGACTTGAACCTGAAACCTTCCAGACCCAGGTCTGCATCCTTAACCACTAAGTCACCACTGCACAGAAGTGTAAGGTTTAAACATTGTGAAATCAGTTTAATTAATCAATCAATTAAAGGTGTTTCATGAGGGAAAAAGAGAAAAAATACATCAAAGTGATTAAAGGTGTTTCATGAAGGAAAAAGAGAAAAAATACATCAAAGTGGAATCCTGGGATTTTTTTTTTTATAAAGAAAATATGAGGAGCGTGAAGATTGAGTAAAGCAGTCAGACAGGACAGTCTGGCTACAGAGTGGGAGGTGACAAGGACTGGGCTTCATCTTAGGTCAAATCCTAAGAATCCTAGACTGAGAAGAGAGTGGAGGAGGGAGGAGGCAGGGGTGAGGGAGGGAGGAAAGAGGGAGGAGAGGGGTGTCATTGTCAGAGCAGGTAAAGATGTGGAGGAAGTTGAAAAAAGTAAGAGATTGGAACAGAGGAGACACGGAGAGATGAGTTAAAACCACCTGAGCGGTCGAGGCCGGGGGTTTCCTGATTTTTCCTGAAGAAAAATTCTCTAAAAATGGCAACCACCTGGACATTTGTACTTTTCTTGTCCTTCATCCTGACGACATCCAGAGGTCTGAGTCTGGCCAGTGAGGAGCAGAGGAGTGCGAGTGTGGACACCGGTCATGACACGACTGGAGACGTCGGTAATGACACCAGCGGAGACACTGGTCACGGGGACAGCGGTGGTGGACACGGAGCTGCTTCCATCACCACTCTTCCTATTGTCACCTGGAAGTGGCACCATGTGTCCGTGCCGTACCTGGTGGCTCTGTGGATCCTAGTCAGCTGGATCTGCAAACTGAGTGAGTTCCTGCACCAGGGAAGTCCACCGCATCCCAAAACTGAAATCCTTAGAAAATATATATATATATTTTAAATAAATTCGATTTATGAAAATATTCAATTTAGAACTTTTAAATAATCACTGATTATTTACCACATAAATAATGATATTATAACAACATCGTCAACAGTTCCAGGAATCAATAGTTCTTCACATTTGTGGCTT